CGGGCCCGGCTCCTTCTCCGGCGTGGTGCCCGAGTCCTCCCCCACCTCCGGGGGTGGCCAGAGGTGCGAGGGCCGGGAAGCCAAGGTGAACTTCTTGCCGGGAAGCCAAGAGGAGCCGGAGCCGGTGGCCGAGCCGGCGCGGCTGGAGGTGGAGCGGGCAGGGTGCCGGTTCCGCGAGCGGTCGCTGTCGGTGCCCACCGACTCGGGCTCCCTCTGCTCCGTGGACATCGCCTACGCCGAGACCCGGCGGGGCAGCGCCAACTACGCCCTGGGCTACCCCAGCGCCAGCTCCGAGGGCAGCACCAGCACCGACAACGTCTCCCTGGGGCTGGAGCCGGAGGGCCAGCGGCGACGGCGCTCCAAGAGCATCTCGCTCAAGAAGGCGAAGAAGAAGCCCTCGCCGCCCACGCGCAGCGTCTCGCTGATTAAAGAGGGGCAGGATGCGGCGGCGGGGCCCGGCTCGGCGCTGCCCAAGGATCAGCGACCCAAGAGCCTGTGCATCCCGCCGGAGCCCCCCGGACACCGGCTGGTGCACGCCGACCCGCAGGGCAGCGCGGGGAGGGAGCCCGACGGCACGGCCGCCCCGCACCAGTGGCACCTCGCGGACTGGAAGGCTGGCGATCCCTACCGGTCCCTCTCCAGCTCGAGCACGGCCACGGGGACCACGGCCATCGAGTGCGCCAAGGCACGGGGCAGCTCCGAGTCCCTCGTGTCCCCCTCCATCTCCAGGGCCACGACGCCCTCCCAGCTCTCCGCCGAGGCAGACCTCAAGACCTCCTCCCCGGGCAGGCCCACCGGGCTGATGTCCCCATCCAGCGGGTACTCCAGCCAGTCGGAGACCCCGACCCCCACCGTCCCCACCTCCGCCGTCCTCGGGCACTCCCCGCACCAGGTGCGGGTGAGGCCGCTGGTCCCCGAGAGGAAGTCCTCGCTGCCCCCCACGTCCCCCATGGAGAGGAGCCCCAAGTCCAGGCTGTCCTTCGACCTGCCGCTCACGCCGCCCGCCCACCTTGACCTCTCGGGGCTGAAAATCTCCCTGAAGGGGAAGACGAAGGTCAGCCGGCACCACTCCGACTCCACCTTCGGCACCAAGCTGGCCCCGAAGACCAGCCCCATCACGCCCATCATGCCGGTGGTCACGCAGTCCGACCTGCGCTCCGTCCGCCTGCGCTCCGTCAGCCGCTCGGAACCGGAGGACAACGCCGAGGGCGCGGAGCACGCCGAGGAGCCGGCGCGTGGTCCCTGCCCCGGGCCGGAGAGGAAGGTGAAGCCCCCCGTGGCGGAGAAGCCGCCTTTGGCCAAGCGGCCCCCGAGCATCCTGCCCAAGCCCCCGCCTCTGCGGGAGGAGGGACCCCTGTCCCCCACGTCTCCGCCGGCCGCCACCCCCAAGGAGAAGAGGCTGCCACAGGACGGCTTCGTGGTGCTGCGGAAAGGGGAGCTGAGGAGGGGTCCGGGGGAGCCCCCCTCGCCCCTGAGCCCGGCGGGACCGCGGCGGCTCTCGCAGAGCAGCCTGGAGGACGAGCCGCGGCCGGAGCGGAGCGTCGCCGGCGAGGGGGAGCGGAGGAAGGCCAAGGTGCCGCCGCCGGTGCCCAAAAAACCCAGCGTGCTCTACCTGCCGCTCGCCCCGACCCCGGCGCAGCTGGGAGCCGGCGCGGGGGACCCGCCGCCCACCCCCAGCCCCATCATCACGCTGGACGCCGACCCCTCCTGCTGCAGCCCCGACGCCGAGGACCTGCCGTCCCCGGAGGCCCTGGGCACAGCACAAGCCGGCGACCCCCCCTCGGAGCAAGGTGAGGGTCTCCCTGCCTGGTTTCGCCCCGGGGACAGGGGGGTGCCCCCCCGTGGCCACGCAGGGTGGTTCACGGCTGCCTCCCCCCCCACCACCACCCACAGGCAGCTCGGCGGAGGCCGGCGCGGAGGAGAAGAGCTTCGCCAGCGACAAGACGGCCGACTCCATCGCGGAGGAGGACGACGACGTGTTCGTGACGGCCCGCACGACGGAGGATCTCTTCACGGTGATCCACAGGTAGGGCCGGGGGGTGGCACGGGGGTGGGCGCAGCCTCCCGCCCCCGCTGCGTCCTGCCACGGTCACAGGGCCGGGCGCAGTGTGTGTGTGTGTGTGTGTCCCCACCTCGACATCTTCAATTTCCCACCCCCAGCACTGATGCTCACAACTGGGGACAAAAAGTTGGGGGGGGGTCCACTGCTCCCTCGGCCCGGGGGCCGCTCTCACCGCGTGTCTCCTTGGCGCCCAGGTCGAAGAGGAAGGTTTTGGGGCGGAAAGAGCCTGGTGACGCCTTCGGCAGCCGGCCCAACTCCCACTCGCCTGTAAAGACCTCGGGGTCCCCGACTGGCGAGACCCCGGCAGCGGCGGGCAGCACCGGGAAGTCCTCCAGCAGGAACGAAGACTTTAAAGCCCTGCTCCAGAAGAAGAGCAGCAAAACCAGCCCCGGTACCCGGCCGTCTGCTGCCGAACTGCTCAAGACCACAAACCCGCTGGCTCGGAGGGTCGTGATGGAGTTTGCCCCTGAGCTCGACGGTGCAAACAGCCCCAAAAGCCAGCCCTGAGCTCGCGTGGTCCCTTCTGGCCATGAAGGGCTGGAGATGGCTGCAGAGGGAGCGGTGCTGTGGAAGGGGTGTCCTGCCTGCCCGGGTGAGTCCGTGTGTCCCGCCGGGGGTTTTCTTCTGCTTTTGTTTCCTCCTCGGGGAGCCGCCGGCGGAGAGGCAGCGTTTGGAGCCCGAGCCCCCCGTGTCTCTGGCGGAGCTGGGCCCTTTCCCGGAGGGAAGAGGTGGCACAGTGGCTGGGACCGTCCCCGGCTGAGCCGGCTCCCGGGACCGAAGGCGCCCGCTCGGGAAGCGGAGCGGGACTGCAAGCCCCCGGCGTCGCTCAGCGCCCGCAGCGAAGCTAGCTTGAAACTGTTCGGTCACTTCGGCATGTGGTACTTTAAATGGCTTTTCTAATGCACCGTGGTGATGATGTTTTATTCTCTTTCGTTTGACATTGTACCTTGAGTTTCCCAGGCAAAGATCCCGGGCCTGAGTCCGGCTGGATACACAGAGACGGACTTTGGGAAGACGTGAGGGGGCCGGCTGGAATTGAGGTTGCTTTGGAAGAGCCACAAGCAGTTCCCCCCTCGTCGTCCCGAGCGTCCTGCCTGTTGCACGGGGAATGGGCACCCCGGCGCCCGCAGCCAGCGCGACGGCCTCAAGCCAAAACCCAGCCCCTCGAAAGCCCCCAAAATGCTGCATTTCAGAGCTCCTCAGCTCTCGGTCCAAAAGCAAACCCTGGGGCCGCCTCCGCCGCCAGCCCCGGGGAGCCTCGCCAGCCTCCCCGCTCCCCACCGCGTCCTGCGCCGGGCTATTGACTTTGGGGGACGCGGGGGGCAGGCGGCCCCGTGGGAACCGGGCTGTTGGTGACAGAGGCCACGGTGAGGGGCAGCGGGGCCGGGGCAGAGCTCTGGAGAAAGGCAGGACAGAGAGAAAATGCCAGCCCCCGGCTCAGGCTGCGCGCCCGTAGCACGAGAGAGAAAGGGCAGCTGGCAGAGAAACGGGGTGTTTAGGAAAATTTCGGCTTTACGAATCTTGGTTGCATTTCTGGCAGCCGCGGCGTGCCCCAGCCCTCCTGTGTGTGGGGGAGAGCGATGCGGCCAGGTCCCACGGCGGCACCAGCTGCCCCACCAAGGGGCCAGGGCTGGGCTGGGGTCGCAGCCCCCCGCAAAAACCTCCCTGTCCACGCACCCGCGCTGGATTGAACCCCCCAAAAAGATGCTCCACTCTCCTCGCGGTTCCCCCTTCCCTCCCGTTACTTGCACATTGCTCCCTTCCCTCTCCCCCGGGGTTGCAGATTTAAGCCTGTAAGTAAGATCCAGGCTGAGAAACTCAGGAAAAAAAAAAAAAAAAAAAAAAAAAAAGGGAAAAAAAAAAACATAAAAAAACAGCTCTAACAAATTTCCACGCTTCATCTCCATCCCACGGCAGCCAGCCCTCCCGCAGCCCCCGGGGTGCTGGTGCGGCGGGACTGGGGTGCTGTGGGGCCGGGTACATTTTGCACATGACTGCTCAGGAAAGCGGCGGCGGGGGGGGGGACAGCAGCCGGCCAAGGGGGCTGGGGGGACCCCCCCCCCCCCCCCAAAACCCAGCACCGCGGGCAGCCAGCGCGGTCGCCCGCTGCCGCGTTAGGGAGGTCGGGGGGGGGCCAGGCCGTGGGATGGAGACCCCCCCGCATCCCTCCGTGGAGGAGCGGACCCTTCCCAGCGCCAGCTCGGGGCTGAGGGCGCATCGGCGGCCGCTTGGGCCGTGGGAGAAGCCGCTCGCTGTCCCCCGGGGGGGGGGGGGACCCCGGCCGGCGGCGACGACCCCCCCCCCCCCCCCCCGCCCCGGGTCCCGGCCGCGGTGCGTCCCTTCCGAACGTTGTACTGTTTAACCTCGCCGGCTTGGTAAACTGCTCCCCGCTGAGCGCTGCCTCTGCGTGCTGGTTCTTGCGGGGGGGGGGGGGGGGACACGGGCACCCCCCGACACCCCTGGCACCCACCCGCGGGTACCCGAGGGCGCCGGGGCGCTGCGGGGGGGGGGGGGGGGGGGGGGAGGGAGAGCGCGGGGTGGGTTTGGGGTCTCGGGGGGGGGGGGGGGGGGGCAGGTGGGGATGGGGGGGGCAGCCCGAGCGGGTGGGGGACAGAGCTCAGCATAGGGACGGTCTGGGGGTTGGGGTGGGGGGGGGTCCTGGGGGCTGGCAGGGTGGGTGCCGGGGGCAGCCCTGGGTGTCAGGGCCCGCCCCGGGGGTGCTGGGTGGGCGCGGGGGGCAGCCCTGGGTGTCGGGGAAGAACCGCGGGGGCTGAGCGCGGCGCGGGGGGGACCCGGGGCGGGGGGGGGGGGGGCTCCCGGGACCAGGCCGCAATATCGTCCCCACCCCCCGCCATAGCCGGGACCGGGCCCGGCGCTGGGTCCTGCGGCCGCGGGGGCGGCCGTGGCGGGCGCCGGGGGGAAAAGGGGCAACGCCGAGCCCGGCGCGCCGCGGGCAGCCCGGGGGTCCTCGGCGCGGCTTGAAGGCGGCAAGATGGCGCCCAAAGGGAAGAGCGGCGGCAAGGCGGGGAAGGGTGAGCGGGGCCGGGGCCGGGGCGGGGGGGCGAGGGGCCGGGCCGGTCTGAGGGAGCTGCGTTCACAGGCGGTGGCGGCGACAGCGGCGAGGGCAAAGCGCAGGGCGCGAAGGGAGGCGGCAGCGCCGTGAAGGTGAGCCCCGGGAGGCGGGGGGGGCCGGGGGTGTGTGTGTGTGGGGGGGGGTCTCCCCCCGGCCCGCCCGCCACGGCCCCGCTTCGCTCCCAGGTTCGGCACATCCTGTGCGAAAAGCACGGCAGAGCCATGGAGGCGATGGAGAAGCTGAAATCCGGCGTGCGCTTCAGCGAGGTCGCCTCGCAGTACAGCGAGGACAAGGCCAGGCAAGGGGTAGGCGCTGAGGGGAGGGGGCTGCTGCTGGGGGCTGCCTTCAGACAGCCCGCTGCCAGAGCTCCGCGCCCAGAGCTCCCCCTGGGGTGGGCAAAACGCGGGTCGGGGCCAGCCCCAACCACTTGGCAAAGGCACAGGCAGCTGCCCCTGAAGTTGTAAATATTTCGCCGCAGCAGAGCGGAGGCCCACGAGCCCCGGCCCGGCCGTAGCTTGCTGAGCCCCATGCGAGGAGCTCTTCCCCGTGCTGACAGGAGAGATGCTGCCAGGACAGGCTTCTTGTCCCACGGCTGCATCACCCACCCACGCTGCTGATAAAGCCGCTGTTGCAGGGAGATTCTCAAAGCTTAACCCCGGTCGTCCCTCCTTCCAGGGAGACTTGGGCTGGATGACCAGAGGCTCCATGGTGGGACCCTTCCAGGAAGCAGCGTTCGCCTTGCCCGTGAGCAGCATGGACAAGCCGGTGTATACAGACCCTCCTGTCAAAACAAAGTTCGGGTACCACATTATCATGGTGGAAGGCAGAAAATAAAATGTGAATGACCGTGACCTTGTTGACTGCTTGAATCCTGAGAGCTTCCCTGATACCTTGACCTTGGAGCAAGCCGGTCACGACCAGCAGCATGCTTGGAGGCAGCTGGCCGTCCCTGCTGTTGTGGCAGGACACAGATTACAGCTGGCAGAGAACAGGGTCCTGCCTAGAGAGGTAAAGTGTTCCCCGAAAAAGGCCAAATAAGAGCTTTTCACAGTTGTTGAGATCTGCTTTGCCTGGCAGGCCGGCCTCTTGCTTTTCCTGTTGCAGCGATAACAACCTGTCCACTTGGATAAGGTGCTCAGGCTTTTATCTGCAAATGTAAATGATCCAGAGAGAGGGGTTCCCCAGCCTCGCTGGTGAGGATGCAGACAGCTCCAATGCCACTTTCTGTTCCAGAGCCCAGACTTGGACTGGGGGGACAGTCCCCTTGGTAGGGGGTGGGTAACGCTACAGCTGGAGTTAGCGGCCACTGCGCTGGGCAGGCAGCTTGTTCTGCTGGTTAGCTGGCAGAGGTGGGGGTCAGGCCGGGGCTGGAGGCACCCTGGCTGGAAGGGGTCCTCCAGAATACAAACTTACCCTATGCCTGAAGCTGAGGGAAGAAATGCTGTAACTGGGGCTTGAAAGAGAGAAAAGCCGCTAAATGCTTGCTCGCTGCTTCCTGCATTCCCCTGCTGCCAGGGATGCAGCACTTGTCTGAGGCTGCGCCTCGTCCTGCTGGTACCCACAGGGTGGCACGACTGGTGCGAACGAGAGGGCGCGTGGTGTCTCCTGCCTCCCCGATCTTAGCAATAAACACCCCAGGGCCATGACACCCCTCCTGCTGAAAGGCGGCACGCAAACCGAGCACACGTCCAGTGACAGACACCGGCTTTGTTTGCCTGCGAGCAGCGCGCCGTGCCAGAGGGCTGAGATGAAAAAACAGCAAAGGGAACAAAAAGCCTTTCCCAAAAATCACACACAAGGAAGCGGTGAGACCAGAACCAGGGCAGGTCTTTCTCCCCCCGCTCCTTTTGGGGTGTTTGTTTAGTTAAGAGAATGGAAAGCTCAGAGAGGCCAACGAATGATTGCCAAGCTCTAGTTCGTTACTATTTTGTTATGAAAGGCAGACAGGCCTTTCTACAGGAGGAGAGCAGATGTGGCCTCATTTAAGGGATGCTCTATTAATAAACTACTTGTTTCCAGGCTACCAGAGCTTTGTTCTGCCTATTAGCAAAAGCTCATTGGCACATCTCCTGTACCAACAGGATTATTGTTTGTGTTTGTCATGTCTCCCAGTAGAAAGGATTCAAATTCAGCAGACCAGGTTCCTCCAAAAACCACAAAACTCAGCAAGGTGTGAAAGTGTCCCTTGCTATCATGCTGTAGTACAGAAGGCAAACTTGCTAGGCACTAAGCATGCACATGGCAGAGGAAATGTCAAAATTCACTGCCATATTGTCACCAGACCCTACAGAAGATGGTCACAGTGATGAGCATAACCTGGCCAAGTTTATCTCAGTGTGGTGGCAGAGGGGCAAGTCAGGTAAGCAGAGCACTGCTAAAAGCCAGAACAAGGGTCTTTGATTTTAGGCCTGCATGGTTCATGAACTACAAACTCCCTTCATAGGTTCCACCTGCCTACAGTACCGGAGAGAAATATTCCATCTACCACAGCTAAACTGTACGTGGGAAGAGAGTTGGAGGGCTCCCTTACCAGAGGAAAAGCAGCTCAAAGCTTTAAAACCTTTGTGCAAGAGCAGGCTGTGACTGTACTACTCAGAGGAACATAAAGACGGAAGGGGTGAAGGGGCCAAACAAAGCCCTCGACTCCTCCAGCAACAGCGGAAGGTTTGAGGTGCGCAGCGCTTTGCAGCACTCCAGGTCTAACTGCTCTTCCCGTCCTTTTGCACCCCTCACCCACCCCCCCCCCTTTTCCACACCGCCACAGCCCGGCAGGGACTCGAGCAGAAGGGTTTCTGCAGGGCCCCCCTTGTGTCGGACCTGGCACCAGGCAGATGGTGTGCTGGCCTCCATCGCTCGGAGGATTTATAGCAGCAACCACCTTTTTTTTTTTCCCCTCCTCCACAGCAAACAAATACGTTCTCAGACCAACTTAAAACCAGGTTGCAGTAGCTCCGTTCTCTCCTCTGCACCCACATCTGGCTCACCCAAAGGGCAGGTGACGTTCAGGCAGACAAATTGGCTTATTCCCAATAATAACAGCAGCTCGAGTTGGGACTGCATGAAGCTCCCATGGAACCACACCCTCAGCATCCTCTCAGGAGAGAGGCAGTGACAGAATTCATAGGGCAGAAATATGAAGACAGGGCTGCAAGCTTGGAGAGGGGTTTAGACAAAGACAACATTTTTATTAAATAATCAGACAGGATCATGAACTGTTTTCATTTTTGTGAACTGAGTCCACAGTGCAGTCCCTTCCCCAGCACCCACCAGGTGACTGTCAAGGCTGTTTCCTCACGCAGGAGGAGACGCTGAATTTGTTCAGCCACCCTGAAAGAAATGCATATTGCAGCCATCCGTCTTAAGCTAGTTTAAAAGAGCCGGTAATGTAGTTAAACAAAAACATTTAATGACAAAAATGTAAGACTGTACTTAATAGAAGTATACATATTTCATTTCTGGGCTAGCTCTCTGTACAAGTTTAAAGTCATAAGCATAACTTCAGGATCTCCACTTTTTATGTCAAGCGCTTGCAGGAAACAGTTCAATGCCTCCTGTAGTTTTCCATCATCCTTAAGTTTCTTCCCACTGTCTACCAAGGTGTTGTAATCACCTACGGCAGGAGGGGAACTCTGACCAACCTCTTTTTTGGAGACGCTTTCCTGGGTGAAGTAGTCTATCTGCTCGCCCGACTGAAGCTCAGCGTCACCGGTGGATTCCTCCTGCGGTGACCCTGTCTCATCCGCTTCAGACTGCTCAGAGGGCATACCGTCTAGATGGAAGGATTCTTCAGCTGTGTCAAGCGTTTCTCCAGCAGGTTCTTCTTCAGTCTCGGCAGATTCCCCACTACACTCTTCAGCCGCTTCTTCCACAAAGCCGTCTTGCTCCTCATCGCTGTCATCGTCGTCTTCCTCATCAGTGGTTCCCATTTCTGCAAAATCCTCAACCTCATCTACCACCTTGTTGATGAGAGATCGCCTGGAAGCGGTAGACCTGCTACCGCTGTTAGTTAGTCGGGGAGAAAAGATGGCTTTTGCTATACCTCTGTCACATTTAGGAGTAGATGCACTAATTCCTTCCAGAAGTTGATGCAGAGAGCTGTTCAAGGGAGAGGGCCTTTCTTCAGACTGATTTTCCTCCAAGATCATAATGGAACGGTCTTCATCCTCGCTATCTGAAACGATTCTTTTTAAGCATTTCTTTCTACCTAAAGCAAAGGCTCTGATGCTTTCCTCTGATGTTTCGCTCCCTTGCAGGGAGTTATCTGGCTCTTCTTCAGCTGCGTGACAGGGTTTTCCACAGTTACTGCTCTCACTTAGCCAAGTTTTTGTTGGAGAATTTTTTGTTGGAGATTTACAAAAGCTTTCTCCTTTTAGTCGGAAGCCCTCCTTTTCTGGGTGTTCCAGTGATCTTTCCCTATTTGAGGCATCTTGCCATCCATCCTCAGACTCTTCCAAGACCAGATTGAAGTCAACTTGATCCTGGAGAGATGGCACAGACATACCCTCCAAGCTGGCTTCCAACACACGTGACTTCTGGAGCTCAGCATGGATTTTTGGCGTACCATTTGACAAGCTTGGCACTGCGGCAGCCAAAGCTAGCTCAGGAACGTCATCTGTCCCCAAGGCAGCATGTGGGTCGAGTACCTGATCTGACATTTCTGCATCTCTCAACCTTTTGGGATCGTCAGCCATACCAGACTCGTTAGAGGAATGCTGACTTTGCCTGGGCAGGCCATTCTCTGCCTCTGTCAAGCTATCTGAATTTACATGGGAACTCTGTTCCTGTTTGAGACTCTGACTGTCTTTATCAAGTGGATGAAGTCCAGGTGATGATGGTATGATGCTTGATTCAAGATTTTGCTCAGATTCTTGTATCTTGGATTGTTTCACTGTCTTGCTGGTATTAAGCAGCTCTGTATCCATACTGGACACCTCCTGTGCCAGTTTCTCTTCATCCGAGCTGTCAATAGTCAGACTTGTCATTTTAGAGCTGATATTAAGAATCTGGACATCCTTGTCCTCTGTAAGATCAATAACTTTGTCATTTTCGTGTTTATCAGCTACTGGTGGCGAAACAGAGTGATTTATGTTGTTCAACCCTGCTGGAGACAACTTCTTTGGCTTGGAAGCCAGTTCTGGTGGTCTTTGCCGCATCTCTTCACACACATTTCTGATGCCCTCCATCCTCTGGTCTCTAAGCTGAGACTCTAACTGGACTAGCTCGTGGGCTTTCTGTACCCTCCGTTGAATGTACTGGTGGGCTTCTTCACTCTCAACCTGCTCCTCGTGAGCTATTTCCCTCGAATATATCAAGTCGTGATCAGAAATGCCAAACATTTCCAGGGACTGCAAGTAAGCGATATGTTCGTCCAGCTGTGGGTCAGTCTTTCTTTGGGTGGCGTGCAAAGACTGCAGCTGGATCTGAGTTGCAGATGTTCGAGTATCTTCTAACGTGAAGAGCTCCCTTAGTTCCTGTTTGGAGAAATACCTGAACGGGTTCTTTTTGTCGCCGGTAGTCTGTCTTATTAGGGAATCCTTAAATACTTGTCGCCTGTATATTTTCTCTTCCACTGTACCGCAGGTAATCAGTCTATAAATTACTACGTTCTCTTTTTGCCCGATCCTATAAGCTCTGTCTACAGCCTGAGCGTCTGTAGCCGGATTCCAGCTGGGATCGAAGATCACCACTCGGCTGGCTGCTGTTAAGGTTATACCAACGCCACCAACTTGTGTGGTGAGCAAGAAGACGGAGTAGTCCTTGTTACTCTGGAAGGCGTTGATGCGCTTCTCCCGTTCCGTTAGGTGGGTTATCGTTCCGTCAATACGCATGATCTTGAACTGTCTGCAAGACAAGATGTGCTCTATGATATCCAGCATCTTCCTCGACTGCGAGAATACCAGGGTTCTGTGTCCCTCCTCTCGCAGCCTTTCTAGAAGTCCCACAAGGAACAGCATTTTCCCCGACTCTTGAATCAGGGTCTCATCTGAGAGATGATCTATTTTATTAGCACCTGAAAGCATTCCTGCCTCACTCCTGAGATCCTGCTCAGAGTGCTCCTGTTCTTCCAAGCCCAGCTGAATACATGCTCTTGCAGACAGAAGCCTGGGGTGGTCACACAGCTTCTTCAGGATATTCAGCTCAGCCAAAGGTGATCGGGTTGTCATCAGCACTTCTTTCACATGATCCAGAGAGAGAAAGTTCCTGTAGATTTCTTCCTGCACTGGTGCCAAGTACACCCACACAACAAAGTCATTTTTCCTAGTGAGAGATGGCATGACAGGAACACTATTCTCAGGAAGAGGAGCATCTGGTTTATCAGCATGATTGGTTTTGATATCTTCCTTGGTTCTTCTGAGGAAATACGGCTTTATAATTGTCATTAGATTCTCAGATATCTTTAGCCCCAGGGCTTTCTCACCTAGAGTTGCATCCTTCTCCCTTGCCCTGGTAATAGGATTCTCATATTCCATTTTAAAAGTTTTGGCCGTTCCCAAGAGAGTGCCTTGGCATGCAAAGTCAAACAAGGACCACATTTCCCGCAGGTTGTTCTGCACTGGGGTGCCGGTGAGGAGGAGGCGATGCTTTGCGGGAATCGCGTACACACACTTGGTCGTTTTGTTAGACGGGCACTTGATCTTATGCGCTTCATCGAGAATGACGTAGTCCCAGACAAACTCCTGCTCATGGCTGCTGGCGAGCTGCTTCCAGTTGTTAATGAGCATCTGGTAGCTCGTGACGACGATGCCGTTCTTCCTCCGGACCCTCTCCAGGTTCCTGGTGCGCTCCATCTTGCTGGCGCCGTGGAACTCCTTGACGCGCAGGCCAGGGGTCCAGCGCCCAAACTCGGCCAGCCAGCTGCTGACCAGGGTGGTGGGCATGACGAGCAGGACGTGCCGGACCAGCTCGGAGTCAAACATGCCCGAGAGGAAGGCGATGACCTGGACGGTCTTACCCAGGCCCATGTCATCGGCCAGAATGCCACCCGGCCTGCCCTCCCGGTGCAGGCGGTACAGGAAGGCAACACCCTCCCGCTGGTGCTGGAAGAGCTTCCCGTGCATCTCCCCGTAGAGCAGCAGGCCGCTGCCGCACACGTCCACGAAGCCTTCCTCCTCTTCTTCCTCCTCCTCCTCCTCCTGCTGCTGCTGCTCCGCCGCGGCCAGCACCTCCTCCACTCGCCGGATGCGGCCCTGCAGCTTCTCGCTGGGGCGGATGGCGGCAGCCAGCCGGAACAACCTCAGCGCCTCCTCCAGCTCCCCGTCGCCCGCCGCCGCCTTCGCGCCGTCCACCAGCCTGCGGGAAACACCGTCAGGTACCGACCGACCGCCCCCCGCTCCCCGCTCCCCGCTCCCCCCCCCCGCTCCCCCGCTCCCCCTCCATCTCTCACCCCCGGTACCGCTCCTCCCGCTCTGCCGCCAGCCCCGGGGCCGCCATGGCGCCCGCGCTTCAAACGCCAGAACCCCTTCCCGTCCTGCCCCGCGGCACACGCCAATATCGCGGGCGCCGCAACCAATCCGCGCTCGGGGAGGGCGGGGCCTGGGGGGGGGGGGGGGGGCGATTCGCTTCGTTCCCGCCCCGCTCTGCCCGTGGTTTTGTTTTTTTTTTTTTTTTTTCCCGAGTGTCCCCCACCCCAGCGTGGCGGGAGGCGAGGTGCACCCCAGGGTGGGGGGGATGCCCGGAGCACCCACGGCCGAGCTCACCGCACACCCCCCCCCCCCAACGCCCACCCGTGGAACCCCGCCATTCCCCGCAGCCCCGCCCCGGACACGCCCCACAGACGCGGGTGGCAGCAGTCCGCCGGCCGGCAGGGGGCGGCGTTTTGGGCGGCGGCGCCTCTCTTGCCCCGCGGCCGGGGATCAGTCGCCGGGAGACCGAGGCGCCGCCATGGAGCCGCCCGCCGGTGCCAGCGGCCTGCTCGCGTCTCCCGGGGCCCGCCCGGGGCCGGGGCCGGGCGGCCGGCCGGCCGCGCTTTCCTCGGCCGCGCCGCAGAGCGTGGCCGGCACGGAGGTGCGGGGTGGGCGGCGGGAGCCCTGCGTGCTCAGCCTGGGCCGGCGGGGCGGCCGCTACGGGTGAGTGTGGCGGGAGGGCCCGGCCCGGCTCCGGTTGTCCGGGCAGGGGAAGGGGATGAGGGAGGCGGGGGAGAAGTTTCCTCCCGGCCGCGCGTCCCTGCTCGGCTCCCCGGGGCGCTCCGGGGCCGCAGGCACCGGCCGCCCTCACGCCCAGCCCGCCCTGGGGCGCTGGAAGTTGAGCGGCGCTTCACTTTCTCACCGCTTGCACCCGCGTCCTGTGCGGCTCTTTCCCCGCTTTCTCTTTCCCTGTAGCGCAGAAATAGAAATCGAACGTTACATTTCTCTGTGTGTACAGCTCTGATGTGTTACACCCTGTGACTACTTCAACGTTTGCCTGTGTGTGAGAAGGGAGTTGTTTCTGTCTTTTTACAAGCCTTTTCTCTGTCTCCAGGATAGTTGTCCATTCACAGGAGAAAGAAAACCCTGATCCAGATTATATTCCCATCAACAGCCGCTTTAAATGTGTGCAAGGTACTGACTCTCCTGGAGTGGGCTCTCTTGTGGTGGCAGGAATCCACTGCTGTTTATTGGCAAAACCTGAATTCAGTGCTTTTTCTTGACCTGCCTCCTGAGCACCCATATAGAGTGAATGTTTCCCTGTGAAACTAAAACACGCAGTTAATAGAATCCTGCTTCTTCCTCATCCAAGTGGGTAGTCTCCCCATGTCAGCATACAGTTGTGAGGAACTTGGTTCAGAGGAGTGGTGAGCCCGGCACCGTACAGAGCCAGCCCGTTCAGCACTTGTCTGTAGTGGCTGAAGCGTGGTGCCTGCTGACGTCTGTCCGTCTTCGCCAGAATGGCAGGAGCGGGGAGCTTTAGTCTGATTCCTGTGCATTTAGATCAAAACTTCTGTAAGGACTGTCAGGCTGTCACATCCAAACAGCCACCTATGGGATGGGAAGGAGCTTTACGCCTTGTCTTGGAAGAACTTAAGTAGCGGTGTCTGTCCCTGGGGCAAATGCTTGTTCAGGAATAAAAGCACCTTTTCTGGGATTAGTTTATTCCTTTCTGTGTAATTCAGCGTGGTTCTGCCTGTCATTTTTGCTGTGTAGACAAGCTCTGAAGTTCATGGTCACATTGGTCTTTCCCAAAGTAGCTACGCTGATGTGGAACAAATCGTGCAGGTGTGTGAGAACTCTGAGTATCAGGAGTTTCCCCTGTGACACTTTGATTGTGGGAAGTGACTGTCCAGGCTGTCCAGATACGGCCATTCTTTCTGCCAGAGCCATTATTAGTGGTACAGATGTCAATTAAAGCTGTTTGTTCCCTTGTTAGGACTCTTTTGTGGCTAGTAGCAGGTAGCATGCTCTGTTGAGTATGCAATTACTGCAGCCTTCAGTGTGAACTCTCTTGATCCTGTTTTTCTCTTTTCCAGAGGCAGAAGAAACTCTGCTGATTGATATAGCGACGAACAGTAAGTTTTATAACTGAGGTTGGGTGGCTAAGGCTCCTTCCAGGAAACAGGCTGTCTTTTGGGCACTGGCATGTGCTTATTCTACCTATCACTTCATAATCTTCCTCCACGCTTTGTGTTTGTCTTTTGATCAAGCAGGGGTTGTACTTCCTCTAATGTTGTCATCTGGCTCTTTTAGACAGTCGCTTGTCACGACAGACATAGTCCTAAGTGCCCAGGGTGAACTATTGGCAATTGGTCAAACTTTAGCTTCTTACATCTTTTCTCAAGGCCCTGCACTGCACTCTGAACCATTCTCATCTCCCTTCCGTTTCTCTGACCTGTACGTGAGCCTCGGTTACTCTCTGCCCCTTTCAGTGTTGACAGCGCTCTGTCTAGTCGCCAATTCTGCTTTTTCTTTCAATAAATTTTTAGAGCTCTTCTCTGCAAGCTGGCAGTAGGGAGGAGCATTCCTAAAACGAGGAAAGCATGACTGTTGCTACCCTGAGCAGGAGGGGGGGATCTCAGAAGCACAGGGAAACCAGCGTAGGTGCAGATTTCCATCAGAAACAGTAGTTGGAAGTTGGCTTTTATTGATGAGCTTAGAGGATGCCTAGAAAGCCTGGTCACTCTCGGGGCATAATATCTCTGAACCAGCCTTGACTGACTCCCTGAGTGTGTGTTTATGCCTGCAGCAGGCTGTAAGGTCCGGATACAAGGTGACGAGTCAGCGGAGCGGCTCTTTGAAATTCCTGATGAGGAGCGTTGCTTAGGATTCCTTTCAGAAGTGCAGAGCATACAGGAAGGTAAGCAGAGCTCCAGCTGTGTTTGTGAAATCCTGAGTGCCAGCGGTTTCCGACAGGGCTGATTTTTCTTTTTTTTTTTGTCCAGCCCACCTGAAAGCTTCCCTTCCTGAGCCGAAGGACTCGGCCATCTGGCATCAGGTGGAGAAGAACCTCCCAGGTCTATCACAGGCCTCTTCTTCGGGTACCCAACTGTCCCCTTTGTGTGCTCTGTGGTCTGTACAGTGACAGGGAGCTGTGTCTGACCCTGCCCGCAGCATTCTGGCTTCTGCCCCGCTTCCTCGCTTCACGTCACCCTGCACAAAATAAAACATCGTGGTCCTTGGGTTCTGTTGCCCCGGACCATTCATCCCTTCTCGAGTGCTCTCTTCTGCCCAGTGCTTTGGTTTGTGTATGCTAAGCTCCCTCCTGCCTTGCCTCGTGGTTAGTACCCCTTTCTCTCATTCCCTGAGTCATCAGAGTTGGTATATTGCTCTTACCATTTGCTTTTTCACTTTCTGTGGAGTTGTACTTTTTCTTTCTTGATCTGAGCTGTTTTAAATTGTTTCTCAGGGCATCGTTCTCGTTTCTTTCACAACAGGAGCTCTGGGGTTTGAGGATGACTTCAACACTCTAAGCCTAGAAGAGAAAAGAAACCTGCAAAACCACCACACGGGATCTCGCCGGGAACCCCCACCTCCTCCCGTGCCTCAAAGTAGGCAGTAAGTAACGTGGTGAATCTGTTCCCTTTTTTTCTTCTCTTCCTAGACAGCAGCGCCAGTTTTAATTCTGCTCTTGCTTCCTTCCTAGACTTCACCGAGAGAGAGAAGGTATCTCGAGGGACCAGCCAAAAGTGACCAACACTATGCGCAAAATGTTTTTGCCCAGCACCCAGTCAGGACAAAGAGAAGGCCTCATCAAACACGTGCTTGCCAAGAGAGAGAAGGCATATGTCAACCTTCACAACTTCAGGTTAGAGCTGTGACCGAGGAACAGTGTGTGTGGAGACAAAGCTGTTTGATCTCTTCTGTGAGCTCAAATCTGGCCCGGGTTTGAAATCTGACAGCTGCTGCTGTGTGGCCAGCTTGGGTGGCTAAAGGAGGGTCGGTGCAGACTGAGAGGCAGTAAGTGCCTGCAGTGCAGCTTCTCCTCTTGCATCTTTTCCCCTCTGCATGTCAGATCTTGGGCGGAAAGAGGATAAAGCCAGCCATCCCACCACACTGTCTTAGTGTTGTCCCACGCGACGTGACGTTAAAAGAGCCAGATGTTCGCTGACCCTGGTGAAATGTCTTTTGCATTCTGCAGAATCCCCAAGATGAGTGTCACTGAAAACGAGCCAAGCCTAGAAGAATTTTCAGTTACCCCATAGCTGGCATGGCTCTGCGGGTGGCCAGCTCACGTGTTGCGTCTGCTCCCAGCCTGAACGCTGCTGTGTGTGCACTGGAGAGACTGGGCTGATGCGGTTGTTACTGTGTTTTCTAACAGTTCAGCTGCTTTTGTGTTGCAGATTTTTTGTGGGAACGTGGAATGTGAACGGGCAGTCTCCAGACAGCAGCTTGGAACCCTGGCTGGTGTGTGACGCAGAGCCTCCAGACTTCTACTGCATTGGGTGCGTAGCAGTGACCTCGTATTTACTTACAGTGCTGGGTTTCTTGTTGCTCTTTCTTGGATGCTGGTGGGCTGTGTTTGTTTTAAGTTCCTGTTTTGTTCGTGGAGGTTCCATAAACCTGAGCTTTGTCTCAGAAGAGCTGTCTGAGGGGAAGGAGCTGTTTGGAGGAGGCAGGGTATTGGGTTAAACGAGGCTGGAATGACATAACAAAATAGATTTTCCTTGAGGCATCCACAGAGCTCTCTGGTTGTCCTCCACCTGAAGTAATACTTCTCAGAGAGATGGTTGCTGGAGTTCGTTGCAGTAGGGTCTCAGGGGTACTGTGGTGAAATTCTGCTGCTTTATTTAGCAAGTGGGAATAAGGAGCTTCTCTTCCAAGAAGAGCTGTTGCTGGAGGTTTCACATTGGACCTTCCTGCAGCAAGAGGGTGATCTGCAGGAGAGGGGGGGATATGCTAAGTTGGCTTGGTTCTTTAGGTTCCAGGAGCTGGACCTCAGCACGGAGGCTTTTTTCTACTTTGATTCTGCAAAGGAGCAGGAATGGCTGGCTGCTGTGGAGAAGTCCCTGCACCCTCAGGCTAAGTATAAGAAAGTGAGTTCTGTTCAGTGCTGCAGGGTCTTGTCATAGAGTTGGCATGATTGCAAGGAAAAGAGAAATGGGCTTCCCCTTTCCTCGCCTGCCCTGAAGAGCAGTGGCTGGAGATACAAGGGTGTATATACTTGGCTCATGCAGAGGCACACACATGCTAAGTATGCCAAATTAAATCTGGACAGTCCGTTTTTTGCCCCACAGTTGTACAGGAATATTGTACTTTGAAGTAGAAATTTATAAAGTTGGGGATCAAAATAACTATAAAATATGAGTTAGATGTCAGGCAAGTAGTATGCTCTGTAGAATCATAGCAGCAGGTTCAAATTGTTCATCTGTGTTACCGTCCCACCCTTGTACTATAGAAGCAAGGTGTGTCTTCAATAAATTGAATTAATAGCTTTTCCTTGAAGGAATGGGATAATTTTTGAGGCGAGATCTTCTAGAGGCTGTTGCCCTGGGACAGAATTGCTTCAGCAGGACTTCATTCTGGCTGGTTTAGAGCAAGCCGTTGGTTTTTATCTCTGCTGTAGCACACTTTTCTGCTGCAGGTACCAGCCCTAAGTTACCCTTTCCTCCTTAGCCCACGTGCTCGCTGTCACACCCGTCCTGCCGGCTCCGAGTTGAGCTCAGTGGCATGGGTTACAGGTCATACGGCAGGAAAACAGCGCACCTTGCCGAACTGAGGCTCGGCCAGAGGGAGTCAGGGGTCGTGACCTGACCTGTGGAGAGGCTCGTGCTCCTGTCTCTTTGCTTCTCTTGAGTTTTAGGTGAATTTCTCCCGCCCTTGTGAAAGGGAGAGAACAGGATATTGCTGCTGGCAGGGGGAAGTGACTGAAACCGTAGGTCAGAGCCACAGTTGCGTGCAAATTCCACTGCAGTGGAGCAGACTGAGTACTTGGGCTCTTCCAGTTAATTCTCTGATTTCAGCTTCTTCCTTCACTACGTAGACTTAATCCCAACACATCTTAATGTTTTGATGCCTCTAAAGTGAGCGTGTAGGCCGCGCTCGGGAAGATTAGGCCTTGTTGCTGTCTTTCAGAGTTGTGACCCCACTGTTCTGAAGGTACAGGGAGGTCATGGACTGGGAAGTGCCTTGGCTTAGCGTGTGTAAAAGAATTGGCCCCAGACCCGAGGTCCCTGCTGGGACAGAGCGTGTAGGCACTGTATTGACACCCGCGGGTGGAGCTCTGCGGGAGAGGAGAACCTCTTAGCTCCAGAAAGAGACTCTTTGCATTAGAGGACAAGTGTTGTCTGAAAAGCAATCAGTTTGCAGGGCTCGGAGATGGCTGCCTTTTGATACCCCGTGCGTCAGGCACGTTTCCCTCCGTAAATAAGAACTTTTCTGTCCGCTCCCCTCTGGCGCGTGTCACCGGCTCCGCTGTGGTCCTGCGTGAGCCAGCAGCTCCCCACGACGTGCCTAACTAGGGCACTGGGCAGCTGCCTCCCGTTGTTTCAGATTAGAGCACAGCTTGGTGTAAGAGGCTGGGGCTTCACAAACGGGTCTGCTGCACGTTGATTGAGTTTCTGTTGCCTCGCGAGGGAGCCCTGTTGGTAGGGAAGCGCCGGAGTGGGGCACGGAGTGAGCTCAGCACAGCTGATGATTACTGGGGCACGATAGATCGTCCTCCAGAACCTTGCTGTGGGACAGGAGGTCCTTTGGGCGGTGTGGCAAGCAGGGATTGAGCACAAAACACCATGAGGAGCCGGGAGAGCCAGAGAAGCAGAACATCAGGCGGGGCGGGCAAATCAGAACTGCGTTGCCAGTGCCTTGCTGGGAACTCGGAATCCCTTTTATTTTTGCAGGTGCAAATGGTCCGTCTAGTTGGAATGATGTTGCTCATATTTGCGAAGAAGGATCAGCTGGGCAATATCAGAGAGATCATGACGGAGTCTGTGGGCACGGGAATCATGGGAAAGATGGTGAGTCACCGGGGCCAATTTGTTGCTTCCGTTCATCCGTGCAGGTCACGGCGCAGCCTGGTTTTGTTCCCCTGTCTGTGCCATCCCCATCTCCTCCCTGGTGCCTCACCTGCCGCCTTCCCTGGCGACTGCTGATACCTGCTCTCCCCAGGGCAACAAGGGCGGCGTGGCGGTGAGGTTCGTGTTCCACAACACGACCTTCTGCGTTGTCAACTCCCACCTCGCTGCTCACGTGGAGGACTTCGAGCGGCGAAATCAGGATTATAAGGATATCTGTGCTCGCATGAGTTTCGTAACCCCTGATGATAGTCTACCTCAGCTCAACATCATGAAACACGAGTAAGTTTATTTTGCCATTTTTTTCCCTTTTGAAGCGGTGTTGAATAATCCAAATCAAGTCAGAATCACAGCAACAGATTTCCTGCAGGTAGATTTTTTTCCAGCTTAACAATATAACTGAAGATGCCAAGGCCTCTGGTGTGCCAGAGCTCCCGCAGTCGAACTGCGTGGGCACCTCGCTGGTGACTTGTGCGACCTGTCTCTAACAGCCCTCCCCTTGCGTGTTGTGTTTAACACTCCCATTTCAGCAGGCACCGTTCCTGAGTCAGGGCTTGGAGAAACTCAGGGGTTTTTTTTGTGATGGGAAATGGGAGTGTATGAGCAGAGGAAGAAGAGGGATCGCAGGTGGGCAGAAGCTATGCTGTTTAGGCTTTTTTGAGTAACAAGTGCTTATGATTGCTCTTTCAGTTGGGCTTTAAATGAATTGGATGATACACAGGCAATACTTGATTTTCTTTTTTTTTTTTTTTTTTTTGAGGTGACAGTGGTGATGAATAATCCGAATCAAACTCAAACCTGTGTATAACAAAGCATATAAATTAAGTTTTCTTAAACCTGATACGAATTATTAATACTTCTGTAGTTAGTATTTAAACCATTTAAATACTGAAAATAAAATGTAGAGTGGATTAGTGCAGAAAAAACTTCCAAATACTAGATTATCCTTGATAATCCACTAATGGAAATTTTGAGGTTTGACTATAAACAGGAAGAGCTTCGATAGCAGAGAGGGGTTCAGATTTTAATCTTTAAATGGAACCTTTATGGAGTAAAGAGTGAATACCACAAGTGTTTCTTTAGCTGCTGGTAATGAGAAAGCTGTGGGTCCGTCTGAAAGCCCAGGGAGGAGCAGAGTGAGAGCAGGTGCTGGGGAGGTAGGACCACACCGTTCAGGTGGTCACGGGCTCAGCAGGAGCCTGGCTCTGCTTTTGCCAGCGCTGCCGGGGCCGGGCTTTGCTGGGGCCAGGCTTTGCTGGGGCCAGGCTTTGCTGGGGCCAGGCTTTGCTGGGGCCAGGCTTTGCTGGGCGGGTGGTGCAGCAGTGGCCTCATCTGGGTGGGAAACCGCCCGAGGTGTGAGCACGCAGGTACCTGCGCCTCAGCCTGCCCGACTGGTTGGTTGAGAGCAGGCTCTGCCTGACGCCCTGCTCACTGCCCTCTTCTGTACGCGGGGAGAGCCTGGGTGCTGGATGGGGTTTGTGTAGCTTGAGAGGCTGTGAAGCCTGCTGAGATCCCAATGAAGAGAAACCAGCGTGAGTTGCTGGTGTTCTCGGGCTTTTTTCGGACTGAGGCAGACTCGGGTATCTCCTGTTAAACTGTCTTCGTCCCCATGCGGGATTCCAGAGGAGATGGACCTGGCACTGTATTATCTGCTGCCACTAGAAATTTCTACTCGATCTTTCATCTCTCCTTTTGTCTCCCACGTGTCTCAACCTTAACCACCAGCAACCAACCACCTGTTCCTCTATGCCCCTTCTTCCCTGCGTGGCCTGCGATACTAACTACTGGCTCTTCTTCTCCACGTTTGTCTTTGTTTTCAGTGTTGTCATCTGGCTAGGAGACTTGAACTACAGGCTTTGTCTCCCTGATGCCAGTGAAGTGAAAAGTCTTATCAGTAAGAATGAGCTTCAGAAATTGCTGACATATGACCAGGTCAGTGAATGCCGCTTGCGCTTGCTCCGTGCTCCTGAGGTCATCTTGGTTTGAGATGTGCCTGTGCTTGGGAGGAGCTGGCAGACGCTCTGGGATAAGTGTCTGTAGATGTAGAGGCTAGGCCATAGGCAGAGCTCTGGGCGTCCTGACATCAAGCCCCTAAACAAAAATAGACTGTTCGTTATACCGGGGCTAACTGGGTGACTCGGGCAATTACCATGGAAGCATCTTTACATCTCAGTGGAAGAGTTCTCTCTTACGTACAAACTACAAGCTAGAACATGGGAGTCTGTAACAGCAGCAAAAGCTGCCATAATCAGTGTTCTGGAAGAGAGGCATTGATTTGGAGACCAGCGCTTGTAGCCAGGGCTCTCTGCTCAGCCAGTTTGACCTAAATTCTGTGCTGTAGTCTTCCCCGCTCAGCATTTCTGTGCAGCACACTGAAAACCGAGACAGCACCAGATGTGCCTTTAAGATGAAGGATTGTACCTCTGAAACATGTACAGAAATAGTGCAATATCATCTCTGACAGACAGTTCAACAGTAAATCTGATTGATTCTGTTCTCTATCTCATTTCTGCTGTACCACGGAGCTCCGTGCACAAAACAACTGTAGCTTAGATTTTTGTGAGGAAAACAACTAGGAAGTTTTTCAGAAGAGTAAATGAGAATTGTCAGCCAAGCACACTCCTGGAGGCTTTTGCTAAAATGCTTTTGCTAAAATGATTGGCAGTGAAATATTAATGATGGTGATGCTTAAGCGTGAAAGCTAATGAAGGCATTTAGCACAAGCGGAGCAATTAATATTTCCCTTAACTATTGTTTTGTGCTGTCTGCATGGTCTGGTAAGCAGTGCTGTGCCAATTTGTATTCAGTCTGTTTAGAAAGCATTCCACGGATGTGTTGGATTTTTTTTTTTTACCTTTGTTAAAGGTATAAAGTCTGAGAGGCAGTTTGGGGGATGCCTGGTGAATCGCATGGCCACAGGCTGCCATTGCTCTGCCTCCTGACACTGTGCTGTGGGAGGGAGGTGGTGTTTGGGGTGGCTTGTTGGTTTGGGATTTTAGTTTGGTTTCTTTCTTAACATGTTCTTTTTCTGCTTTAGCTGAATATTCAGCGCACTCAGAAGAAAGCATTTGCGGATTTCACCGAGGGAGAGGTTAAATTCATCCCCACATATAAATACGACTCTAAAACAGATCGCTGGGACTCCAGGTAAATTGGCCTCGAATGGACACGTTTACCTGTGACACACAAAGCATGCTCTCGCAAAACTTGCTTTCCTGCTTCCTAGAGCTGGAAATACCTCACAGTGTTACGGTGATGGCTGGAGTGCACAGATGAGTTTGTGCTCCTTTGTTTCCCCTGCTTTTCTGAAATAAGCAGACCCTGTATGCGTTGACCGGGCACATGCCTTAAACCTCGGTTGCTGCTGATTCCCATAGATGAAGGCAGGTAAAGCGTGAACTTGCAGGTGGCCCTGCGCTGGGGGGGGTGGTTTCTGCTGCCAGGGACAGACAAACAGTATAAAAGGAATTGAAGAGATAAGGAAACGCTCTGAGTCATCCCATCCCCTGACTTGCACACTCGCAGGGGCGGCCGTGCTGCGATAGCAGCAGTGGTTCCTCCTTGCTGCTCTTTGCTTGGTGCCTCCCACAGACACTTATGCATCTGCTGCAGAAGCTTGCCCTAAATGGAGAAACTCCCAAGAAGGAGTTTCAAACCATACGGCCACTGGATTTTACTCTGCCTGTGTTTATGAACCAGCACAATAGTTACTCTGGAGAAGGATAACCCAGGATTCAGACTTCATAACATAATAGTAATAGCTGAGTGGACTTTCCGTGGTGGAAACAATAAGCGATGGATCAGATTGTAGTGAGCAGAAGGATCTGGCAGCAAAAGGAACTAGTGCAGCTTGGGTCACAGTACACATGGCTTCAGACTGTGGAAACAGGCTTGTCTGAGGTTATTGTGCTTCCTGATGCTGGAAAGGACGGGAATTTTAGCTACTGTGTAGGGAAAGGGGAAGAGAGCAGAAAAAACAGTGTAGTATTCAAGTTGAGGGAAGTAATAGGAGTTCATCCCATCCCTGCTGATGCAGTCATGGGGGGGGGGGGGGGTGGGGGAGCTCCCTGGCTGGGAAGAGGAACAGCTTGGATGATCTATTAGGACTGCTGGATTTCCCTGGTAACCTGATTTTTCTTTGTAGTGGCAAGTGTCGTGTGCCAGCGTGGTGCGACCGAATCCTTTGGAGAGGAGGGAACATAAATCAGCTCCGGTACTGCAGTCATATGGACCTGAAGACTAGTGACCACAAGCCAGTCAGCGCGCTTTTCCGCATTGGGGTAACTTTTTTTTTTTTTTTTTTTTTTTTTTTTTTTTTTTATAAGCTCGGGTGGGATCACAGTAATTGTCCCGCATTCCTCTGGGAGGTGGTTGTGTGGTCGGGGGCACCTCTGCTAACGCTGTTGCGAGAGGACAGAGTAGATGGCAGCAAGGTGTGTGGGCTGTGCGGGTGTTGGGCGGCGTGGCAGCCTCTGCTCAGCAGGCAGCTGTGTCCTGGGTGGCACCGGGTCAGTGCTCTGCCTCAGCAGTGCCCGTGCTCGCCGGGGTTCACCCGAGCAGGGCTGGTCGTGTAGTAGGTAGAAGGGCATTCCCATGGGCTGCTCCAGCGATGCTGCTTGGCTGCTGGGGTGTAACCCGTGGCATCTAGTACTAGAATGGGTGAGCTGCTGTTTTCTCTCCTCCTGCAGCAGAAACCTGTAATTAGTTGTGCCTGCTGTTCAGTGTTGCCTCTGGAGTGTGAAGCGAGCGTGTCCCTGGGTCACATCTGGGTTTCTTCCGTGGAGAAAGGCTGGCAGCAGATTTGAGTTTCCTAGCTTACTGAATAGAGGCAGTCCAAGTCCATTTTTGCTACCTCCTGCTCCCTAGGTAGCTCAAGTCTCCTTCAAGGAGAGCCTTTCCCCTCTTCCTCTGGAAAATCATGAGTAATGCTGCGGGATGCCAATGCTGTCCCACAGCCATCACCCCCAGTAACCTCCCAGAAGTGTGATCAGTGGCCAGAAAGACCCTAGTAACATCTGTAGGGGTAAATTATGCCTGAAGTTGCATATGCAGCTTGGAAGTGCACCCATGCGTGCAGATTCTCTTAGCCTTTCAGCTGCACCTAGCAAGTGCTTAGAGAAATATTTCACTTCTGCAGTTTACTCGTGATCAACAGAGTTCCTGTGAAGCTGGTCAGAAACTTTGCTGTGTGTTTTCTGATCTTCCACAGGTAAAAGTTGTGGATGAGCAGAGGTATCGGAAGCTGTTTGAAGACATCGTTCGCATAATGGACAGAATGGAGAACGACTTTCTGCCTTCGCTGGAGCTGAGCAAGAGAGAGGTGAGGGTGGAACCTGAGTCACTGTCCACTTCCCAAACACAGCAGCCTTAGCAGTGCTGGAACTACTTGCAAAGGCTTTGGCATACTGGCTTATAGGAAATTGAACTTTATCCATCACCTTATGATCAGGAATTGGACTGGCAGGTCTTCTGCTAGGAGTCTGGCATTGCGTGGGCACTTCTCAGTCGTGGGCTGCCCCTCCAGACTCTGGCTGCCTTGCTGCGTGTCCCGTCGGGGCCGCTAAACGTGATTTGTGTTTTCTCTTTGCTCTGCAGTTTGAGTTTGAGAATGTGAAGTTCCGTCAGCTGCAGAAGCAGAAGTTCCAGATCACCAATAACGGGCAGGTCACCTGTCACTTCTCCTTCATCCCAAAGCTCAACGATAGCCACTACTGTAAGCCGTGGCTTCGGGCCGAGCCCTGTGAGGGTTACTTGGAGCCGGGTGAGTTCTACCACGGTTTCTACAGCGTGTGCTGGTGTAGACTGCCGCCCCATCTCCCTTCAGTCCTTCCTGTCTTTCCCGGGTCTAACCTTTTTCGCCATCATCCTTGTCTGTTTGTCTTCTCAGTTTTGTGGCCTTCGTCCCGGCCACTGTATGTTTGTCCTTGCCATCCCTTTTGGGGAGTGTCTGTATGTTCTTGAGAGCTCCTGTCTGTTGCAGATGAGAGCACAGACATCTCCCTGGATGTGTACGTCAGTAAGGACTCAGTAACCCTTCTGAACTCTGGCGAGGATAAAATTGAGGATATTCTTGTCCTTCACTTGGACCGAGGGAAGGACTATTTCCTTACCATCAGTGGGACCTACCTGCCCAGCTGCTTTGGCACCTCCCTGGAGGCCTTATGCCGAATGAGACGACCGATCCGAGAAGTTCCAGTCACCAAGCTCATTGACCTGGTGAGTAGCAGTGTTCTGGAGCAGCTCTCTTACCAGGGAGAGAGCATGTTCCCTTCTCTTTACTCCTAAAAGCAGGAGTAATACCTTCAGCTTGGGTCAGCTGTCCTGGCTCTGAGCCGATTTACTTTTTCCAGAGCTTGAGGTGCTCTTTTTTTATTATTTCCCTCCACCACAACCAGTGGCTTTTGGTGGCCTGTACTTTAATCCCCTCTTTCTGAGTAGGTTCTAAATACTGTTTGTTGGGACAAAAAAAGCGATCCCAGGACCTTGTGTTTTGTGTTCCTGTCATGCTGGTGCTGGCAGGCTCAGCTGGGTGGCACTGGTGTGTTGGAAGAGGAGTGGTTTGAAATGCTCTCCTCCGAGGTGCCTAGGCGGCTGCTGCGGTGACGAGGGCTCCAGGATCCTTTTCCTTCTGGACACTTGTGGCATTCGAGCTGCTCAGGGGACGGCACAGGCAGAAGCAGGAGGCCCAAAGGAAGGACTTTGCTGCTGTTAGGTGTGCTGATGAGTAGAGCTCAGCAAACGGCCAGTCTTGCAGCCGCTCTGGCCAGTTCCTCTCGCACCGACCACAGTGAGCAAGCTCTTCTGCAGTGCAGAGATAAGGGTTCCTCTCCCCGAGCTTCGCCGGCCCCAGCAGCATCAATATTCATCCTTCTGAGGCCACTTGTGGGCACGTGGCGGAGTGCAGTCGTGCCCTACTCACCTTGTTTCTTTTTGGTAGCTCACGGCTGTTTCTGAGACTAAGCCCCGCTTTGGTGATCTTAATTCTTGGGTTTGGCCTGCATTTATTCCTCTCTCGGCCTTTCCTGGCCTTGCTTCGGTGAGGTTTAGCAGTTTGTGAGTTTTAGTCTATTTATTCATTCTTGTTTAGCCAGGAAAGCCATTTCTTTTTTGTTCATCTGAAAGATTAGCCCAGTTCTTTTAGTATCACATGTCAGAGAGACCTCTCCTCTCTTCATCTCTTGCAATCTCATCCTTACGTGCGTTTTTTTTTTTTTGTCCAGTGAGCTGCTGCTCTTTCACATCTGTAGATTCGACAGCTTCCACTCCCATCTGCTTACACTTATTTCTCTTCCCTTTAGCAATTGCGCCGTGCCTCTTGCTGCCTCTTCCGCTTCCCACCTTCTGTTGTAGGTGTCTGCTTTTCTCACAGGCCCAACACACAGAAAGGCTGGTTTTATACCAGAATTTTGATTTTTTTGTAATCACCAGATCAGGCTAAGCAGAATCCAGGTGTCAAGATACAGTGTTTGCCTCCCCCGTTCAAGCAGCTAATCCAGGCCTCAGGCTCCTCATGCTTCTCAGGGTTCGACTGAAAGTCAGTCTTGTTCTAGGAATGTGTTGAACTTGGTCTGGAGCATTTCATCAGTCTTGGAGGCTTTTCCACCAGCTGTTTCCTGGTCAGTGCTCAGCACTGACTTCTTGCTTGATAGATGGGAACTCGGGCCCAGACTCTTAGCTTCTGCCCTCACAGACACACACTGTTGCTTTTCTAAGAGTAGTTGGAGGCTGCTTCTGCTTCCTTTACCTGTAAGTTTCCTTCTTCTGTTATTCAGTGAAACACATAGAAGTACAGAAAGCAAAACCATGGGAGAAGAGCGCCCTGTCCCAGTATCTGCAGCAAAGAAACAGGCTCTCGTGTCAGTGAGGTCAGTGTGACTGCAGTACTTCAATCGGAACACGTTAAGCAAACTCACGGAATTCCATGTGTAATGGCCCAAAGCAAAATTTAGTCACGCAGGTTATCGAGCTACTGTCATGTTGGAGCTAATGTAGGTCTTTTGGTTTTGGTCGTACCCGTGAGTTGAGAAAGTCTCAGACTCTGGACAAGCTGGGCACTTGCTGCAAGGCAGAGTGGTGCGCGTGCTAACCGCAGCACAGCAGCCTTTTGGTCCAGTTCGCTGTGTTTGGGTGATGTTCAGGCTCTGTGTGAGTCAGGCAGTGTGCTTGCGTATTAAGAACTGTTCTCCTTCCTGCACTTCTGTAGTGTCAGGGCTTGTCGTTTACTGCATCAGGCGTTTTTCTCAGCCTGGCTAGGCTGTATCTTGCCTTCAGCAGAGGGAGATCTGGAGACTGCAGGTCAGGAAGGGTCTGAGAGGCAGTTTGATGCAGGATAGCAAAGTGGGGTGGGAGCTTGTTTGGAAATGGCTCTCCTGGGAGAAGCTGCTGTCACTCGAGCATCTTGCCTTTGGGATTTCAGCAGTGGTATCTCATCCTGTTTTTTTTTTTTCTCGGGGTCCTACTGTAGGCTTTAAAAAGCCTCTTGCAGAATCTTTGTCGGGCGCGGGTTAGTCTCCCGGAGCTGTGACCACCACAGGAAGGGCGGTGGACAGCAGGGCAAGCAGTCAGGTAGGTGGTGGTGAGGCCGCTGGGATGACTCACCCAGTTACCAAACGGGCCCGTCCCTGCCCGGCCTGGCTATCTGGCACCCCGACCCTGTCACTGCGGTCCCTCCCCCTGGGCCTGGGAAGGAAAACCTGCGTGCCAGCTCGCGGTTGGAGCAAGCTGTTCTCGGCAGGAGGCCGGTCTGTCGTGGCCGTGCTAAAACTCAGCGAGCCCTCCGAAGGAAGCAGGCGCTGCAGGGGGAGCCCCAGGTGCTGCCCCCTCCCAGGCAGGCCCTGCGCCGCGGCGGCTGCAGCCACGCTTCCAGCTCAGCACCCCCCACCACCACCACCACCCCGAATGCGTTTCGGGTGCTCCCGCCCTGGAAGGTCCATCTAGCAAAGCTCAGCTTGGGCAGCCCACCGCCGCGTCCCGCTGCGGGCTCCAGGGCCCAGCCTGTGAGGCGGGCAGCCTGCCCTGGGCCGGCTTCAGGATCGCCCGAGGGGTCGGCCGGGCAGCCCGGAGGGGCTTTGGCACGCTGCTCCTCGCAGCCTGTTAATGCTATTAGCTTGAGACAGCCCGGCAGCCCGGGGCTTCGAGCGCAAACACTCATTTCCCCGACTGTACACAAAGCTGCTTAGGGGGCCTGTTGGCTCCGCAGCTGCCGCACACTCAGAAATACAGATTTAGCCTAGTGAATGTGAATGTTTTATCTCTGGCCTGGTCGCAAGGGCAGATGGCTGAAATAATACAGGGATATTTATTTCTGACTGGGAAGATTTAAGAAGGGGAGCTTCTTCCACCTCCGGTCTGCCCATGGCCAAACTCTGCCGGATAGCGAGCAGTGCTGCTGCAGGGCCCCTTTGAGGAGTTTGTAGAAATCCTGACGAGGTCGTACATCATGTGAGCAGGATTTTTGCTAATTGGCAGGCAAATCTCTCACCGCAGGTTTAACTTTGGCCATGTCAGCAAAATGTGTGAAGGACCTGGCATTCAGTGCGTTCTTGTAATGCAAATTAGGTTTCTGCTTAATCTGAGGGTACGTTCTCTCTCTTAACGATACTTTTTCCTCTTCTCTCTTTCCCGCTGCTCTCAGGGAGAAGACAGCTTCTTAGAGAAGGTAACGCAAGAAATTGCTGGGGAAGTCTGCTTCTCAGTGACTTGTTTGTAACGAATGAGAGTTTTCCCCTTGTTTTCTGCTGAAGAGGGAAGGGGAGGTGGGCGCAGAGGGAGCACTTGTTCCAGCAAAGCCTCTTAGCACAGCTGTGGGCTAGATGAGAACATGTAGGAGCACAAAGTGACCCCGCAGCCACGATGGGGCTGGCCCAACTGAGCTGCTTAAAGCTCACCAAATTTGCTTTGGGGCGGGAGGAGGAAAAAAAAAAAAATACTCTCCTGATTCTGGCAGCTAATATAGGTATTTCCAGAAAAGATTCCCAGCCTTTGGCATATCTGAGTTAGCTCTAACCATGCACGGAAGGTGGGGTTCACCATAGACACGCGGGGAGAGGGCTGAATTGGAAAACCAAAGGCTTTTGCTCTTTCCATCTTGTTGTGACCTGAGGGAGGGCCTCGCACGGGAGACAGATGTTCCTCTGCTTCCTCCGGCAGCGGAGCTGGGGCTGCCAGCTCTTCCATCGCTGCTTTACTTTGCACTTGTGCTCTGCCCTGGAGGCCAAGAGACTCAAATCCTTTCATTCGAAGCTGCCGGGGGGTGTGTGGCAGCGTTTGCTCCTGCTCTCCCTGCGCGGGCCCAGACGTTTGGTAACTTGTTTGTGCTGGCTCTGGGCAGGCTCCCCGGGCTGGGTGACCTGGCCCTCTCCAGGCTGCCGGTGCTGTGCCGGGGTACAAGAGGAGAGGGAGGGGCTGTCCCCGCTCCCGGAGGGGACCGAACTGGGGTGCTGGAGCAGATCCAGCTCCCGGACTCCTCCCTAGCAGAGGGGAAGGGAGGAGCTCGGTGTGCCTGCCTCCCGGGAACAGCCTTTTGCAGAGCATCTTCATCTTCCTTCCCGCGGAGAGGACACGGCCGGGCCTTCCCGTGCTCGCACACGGCAGGAGAGGGCGCTCGGTGCCCGGCCAACGCGCAAGGAGAACCCAGCGCAGCCTCCTCCTCCTCTGCCTTGGGGAGCTCGGGGCCTTCTCCTCCTCCCCTGCCCTACGCAGCTGGGCTCTCCCCCCTTGGGGGTCCCCGCAGCTCTCCAGGTCGTGCCAAGGGCAGCCTGGCAGAGCTCCGGCTCTCGGCTCCAGCGCTGCGATGCCCTGGCGAAGGGTTTGTCTGGTGAAGAGCCCTTAGCTCTGAGCGCGCCCGCGGCTCTCCCCTTTTCCTTCTGAAAGTTGCAACGCGCTTGCCTAACGTGCTGCTCCCAAGCCCTCCCCGCGTGCTTGGACGAGTGAGGCGGATGGGTGGCCGCGACCCCAGCATCTGCTAGCTGGGTGAAATCCAGTGGTGTGTGGGGCAGAGCGGAGCTGTGCTGTGCTGCGTGGCTGTTGCCCGTGCCGCCGGGGCTCGTGCCAGCCTGCAGCGTCCCGGGGGAAGCCGAACCCAGCCCCGGCTGGCCGTGGGTGACCGGGTGTGCTGCCGAGGGACAGCGATGGCAGTTGTCACGTAAGGGGACAGCTGGAACGCAGCGCTTTGTGTTTGGCTTGCGGCACTCCTCTCTGCTGGTGTCCTTGGGCTCGCGCCCGTCTCTTCTGGGTGCTTCTGCTGACTGAGCTTCGGGAGGGCTGTGCATGGCTTCCTGCCGGGGAGCATGCAGGAGCGGTGGCAAACTGAGAGTAAAATCAAGCGAGAAAATCACTGATCCTGCTAAAGATTGGTGTGATGGAGACTTCTGAGCAGTTGAGCTCATCAGGTGCTTTGCCTGAGTAAGCGGGAAAACACGACAGTGGTGTCGGGTGGTTTGTGTTCAGCGGAGACCTCTCCTTTAGGAGAATCGGGAAAAAGGCTCCAGAGGCGTGGGCGGTTTTAGAGCCCGGGGGCAGGCGTGGCCGGAGCAGAGGGGCGTCGGGAAGGGCACGGCCGCCACGCCGCACGCCGAGGAGCTCCGGGATGAGCGGGGCGCGGCGGCTGGGGCGGCCCGGGAGCGGGGAAGCCGCCGCGGCGGCGGGACGGGAGCCGGGGTCGGGCCCGGGAGCCGTCCCGCGGGAGCTGCTGCGGCTGGCGGAGCGCCCGGGGCCGGGGCCGTCCGGCGGTTTGGCGGTGGGCCGGGCGGGTTGTGCTGGGGGGGGCGGCGGGGGGCGGCGGGGCTGGGACCCGGGGGCCTGCTGCCGCCCCGCTCCGGGCCCTGCCGGGGGCACTGAGGCCTCCCTGGAACCTCGTGTGCTCTTTGCCGCCAGGAGAAAGCCGTTCTGCAGATGGGCTCCCTGGACAGCGAGGAGGCGAGCGGGATGCCGCTGCAGGTGCCGAAGGAGATCTGGCTCTTGGTGGACCACTTGTTCAAGCATGCCTGCCACCAGGTGAGGGAGAGGGCCTCTGCCGTGCCGGGGGGGCTCTGGAGAGCCCCCTGACCCGATGCGTCGCCGGCACCTGGAGATCAGCTCCAGTTCGGTGTTTCCAGGTCAGGGCTTTTCCCCCGTGCTCGAGGCGGTGGGGGGGGGGGGGGGGGGTACCAGCTTTCACCCCGCTGACACCGTGCGCATCAGCCTTGGTGAGGATGGTCACCTTGTCCATCCCTGGGCTGTTTTTGGCAGGAGGACCTGTTCCAGACTCCGGGCATGCAAGAGGAGCTGGAGCAGATCATTGACTGCCTGGACACCAGTATCCCCGAGACAATCCGTATCCTTGCTGCGCCTGATGCTCCCGGGCTCTCAGCCCTGCTTGGGGGTTGGCTCCCCTCTGCCCCCCCAGACAGAACCTCTCCAGAAGCTGAACGTATGCTGGCTAAAAGAGGCCCAGGGCCAGAGCTCTGGAAGCTTCTGCAAGGCTGTGCCAAGCGCAAGAGCTGGTGAGGGTGGACGCTGGGGAGCACGACCTGGAGAAGGGGCTAATGGAGCAGAGGACTTCGGTGGGGCCAGAGGGTGGGCAGATTGGGACAGCGCTTTCCACGGCTGGGGGACAAGAGGGGGAGGAGGAGGAGGGCTTTGGTGTCAGGGAGCAGTTAGGCAGGCAGAGAACTTGCATGACCTGCGAGGAGGAAGCCGACGCTAAGCAACTGGGGAGGCAGGAGCAGGCTGGGGGGGGCGGTGGTCCCTCTGCTCAGCATGGCCCTTGATGCCCCCCGGTCCAGCGGGCAGTAACCACTCTGTGGCTGAAGCACTCCTCATCTTCCTGGAGGCTCTGCCGGAGCCCGTGATCTGCTACGAGCTGTATCAGCGGTGCCTCGACTGGTCGCACAGCAGCCGGCTGTGCCGACAGGTAATGGCGCTGCCGTGGCCCCGCTCCCCTCCCGCCGGGGGCTGGGGGTGGGCAGGGTGACCCGGGTGCTCTGGCTTCCACAGGGACCCCGCGCGAGCCCTGTGTCGCCCTGATCACATGCAGGAGCCCCCGCTGCTCCCGAGGGTTTAATCACCTGCTGGGAGCTGCAGTTCTACACGTCCCCTAAGGGCTGGGGCTGAGTGGCTCTTAGGGAGAGCCAGTGGGGCAGCCAGCAAGGCCAAGCACGCCCTTGGGCAGAGGAGGACATTTTGGGGCCCCTTTTCAGGACTGGTGTCAGGAAACCTCTGGCCCTAGTCGTCGAGGTGCTGCTGTGCAGCCACGGGGCTGAGCGCTGGGAGCACGGGGGGAGCGGGCGCGGGGCTCTGGCAGTTTTTGCCTGGTGTTGCAGTTAGCCTCGTGACCACCAGCCAAAGCCCCTGGGTGCCATCAGCGCTGGGCTACAGCCGGTGGCTCGCGGCTTTGCTTTCTGGGCCCGTGGCTCGCGCCCGCGGTCACGCAGTGGCCTCAAGGCAGCAGGAAGGGGAAGGCTGCTCGCCCCGGGGGGGCCAGCCCAGGCTGCGGCGGTGAGAGCCGGGAGAGCTTCCTGTCTCCGTTTCCCTCCAGGTGATTTTTCAGCTGCCTCGCTGCCATCGCAGCGTGTTTCGGTACCTAATGTCGTTCCTCCGAGAGCTGCTCAGATACTCGGAAGACAACAACGTCAGCGTCGCCATGATCGGTGAGTGTGCCGCTCTGCTCCGCTCCGGCCGCTCTCACGGACACACAGCCCCTGCCCGCTGCCCCTCCAGCTCTCCGGGCCTGACCAGTAACTCCTTCTGCCTACCTCCGCAGCCGCCTTGTTCTCCAGCCTCCTCCTGCGCCCTCCACCCAATCTGATGGCAAAGCAGACTCAGCAGGACCGCCAGCGTGCCATCAACTTCCTCTACAGCTTCCTCCTCGCCGGGGATGAGGAGTGACTCCTGCCCGTGTGCCAAAGCTGAGGCCCCAGCCCTGCACCGGGCCGGGCCTCTGACAGCTCCCGCGGGGTGAAAGGCTCTGAGCTACGCCGGGGGCCGTGTTTACAGTCGGGAGGGACGTGCTCCCCTCTCCTTCCCGCCGCCGCACCCTCCGCTGCGGAGGACCTGCGCGCTCCTTGCACCGCCGCCCACGCCAGGAGCCCCCTGCTTTCTGCCGGGGAGCTGGGTGGATCTGCTGACGGCCACGCGCTGTGCCAGCAGCCCGCTCATCCCCTGGCAGTGTCGCCGGTTCCCTGAGTCATGCTTCGCTCTCCTCACCCCCCCCGCTCCTCTCCCCGGAGCCCTTGCGGGGAAGGGTGGAGGCAGCCGGTGCTGGCGGGGGGCCGGGGTGCGCCCCGGGGCCGGCCCCGCGCTGGTGTTGGGCGCCCGTCACCCCCCGCAGCCGCCCCGGCGCTGTGTGCGTGGAAGCTGGGGCGCGGCTCCCCCAGGAAGGTTTATCCGGACGTTTGGCCTCTCCCCTCCCGGCCCCCCAGGTCTCTCCCAGCCTTCCCCCCCCCCCCCCCGGGCCTTGCTGTCCTCTCCCTTCCCCTGCGCCCCAGCTTCCCTCGGGGACCTGGGGGGGGCAGGGGGTGATGGAGGGGTGAGGCGGGCAGGGCCCGGCTCCTCTCTGCCCCCCAGCCCAGCGGGCAGAGCCACGGGGGGGGCTGCTGGATGCTGTCCTCCCCCCTCCCCGAGGTGCTACGGGAGGGTGCAGGCTGGGGGGTGGGAAACGAGCCCCAACTCCACCTCGAGGAGCAGTGGGGAAGGGGGGGGGACACCCCCGGGGGTGCAGGAGGGAGGCCTGTCCCACTGAAACACTAAGCAGAGCCCTCCCTGCTGAGGGAGCCTTGGCTGTGGGGAGGGGGGGGCTGCAGTCCCAGAGCCCCCCCACGGGTGTCTGGCTGAGCTGCTGGGGGCTGCTTTTTTTTTTTTTTTTTTTTTTTGCGTTTGGGGTTTTTTTTTTGTTTTGTTTGTTTTTTCCCCTCTTTAAAATTTTTAAATTACATAATTTATTGGGAAACGGTTCGTTCCAAATAAACCTCCGTTGTGCAAGAGGGTTTGTTTTTTTTTTTTTTGGGGGGGGGGGGTGGGGGGGGGGGCTCTCCCGCCGTCCCTGCCGTCCCTCACGTAGCTCGGGGCCGTGCGGCCCGGGGGGGGGGGGGTGGCCGCAGCGCTGCGGCTCTGCCCCCCCTGCACCCCCCCCCACCCCCCCCCCCCCCGGGCCGCATCCGTCCCTCGGGCTCTGGCACCGCGGCGGGGGCTCCCGTTCCCCCGCCGGTCGGGCCCGGGGCCGGCTGGCTCGGGGCTTTAGCAGGTCCGGGGGGGCCCGGGGGGGCCCGGGGAGCGGCGGCGGAGAAAGCCCGAGCGCGAGGTGCCGGTATTGTTCCCGCCGCCGCCGCGTTCCGGCTGCTGCCGGCGGAAATGCCGGAGCGAGCGCGCAGCCCCCCGGGACGGGGAGGAAGGGAGGAAGGCTGCGCCGGCTCATCCTCCCGGGGGGGTGCGGGGGGACCCCGGCGGGGGGGGTTGTCCGCACCCTGCCCGGAGCGGGGGGGGGGGCTGGGAGACCCCCAGCCCTTAGGGAGCCCCCCCAGCCCCTGGGGAGCCCCCCAGCCCTTAGGGAGCCCCCCCAGCCCTTAGGGAGCCCCCCCAGCCCTTGGGGAGCCCCACAGCCTTTAGGGAGCCCCCCCAGCCCTCGGGGAGCCCCCCCAGCCCTTAGGGAGCCCCCCAGCCCTTAGGGAGCCCCCCCAGCCCTTGGGGAGCCCCACAGCCTTTAGGGAGCCCCCCCAGCCCTTGGGGAGCCCCCCCAGCCCTCGGGGAGCCCCCCAGCCCTCGGGGAGCCCCCACAGCCCTCGGGGAGCCCCCCAGCCCTCGGGGAGCCCCCACAGCCCTTAGGGAGCCCCCCAGCCCTTGGGGAGCCCCCCCAGCCCTTGAGGAGCCCCCCAGCCCTCGGGGAGCCCCCCAGGCCTTGGGGAGCTCCGGCCGGGGTGCGCTGGCTGTCCTGGGGCCGGCCCCGCGCTGCTGTTGGGTGCCCGTCACCCCCCGCAGCCGCCCCAATCGCCCCTGTTGGTCCCGGGGGGGGTGGTGAGCCCAGCCCGGCCCCCCAACGCAGCCAGAGCTCCCCAAGGGCTGGAGGGCTCAGCCCCTGCCCGTCCCTTCTCCCAGCACCCTTGTTACCCCACTCAGCCGCCCGGGACCCCGCAGAGCACCCCGTCCTCCCCGGCACCTCCACACTCGCACCCCGGGACACCCACCTGGGGTGGGGGGCTGCCCGTACGCCCTCTGCCCCCAGCTCCGGAGCCCTCGCACCCCCCCCCCCCCGGCTTCAAACCCCCCCTGCCCCGGCAGCACGTGCAGGTGATGCTGCTCCAGCCGTGCCTCCCCCTGCCCGCGCCCCTGTCCCCAGCACAGCGGGTGGCACCCAGGGCAGGCGGCACCCAAAGCAGGAGGCACCCAAAGCAGGCGGCACCCAAGGGACCTGCCACCACACACGGGGAGGTGGCGGAGGAGCCCAGCAGCCTCCCACCTGCTTGCGGGCAGCCAGCCAGGCCAGGAAAAGCCAGAGATTCCTTCGGTCTCCCAGCCCAGGAGCCTTTTCCGCCGGCACTGGCTGGCCACAGCCCAACCGGGGGGTCCTCCCTGGCCTCCCCCTTCCAGGCTGGGGCGGGAGGGCTGGGGGGTCAGGGCTCAGCTGTGCAGCCCCTGGCCGCAGCCCAAGCCCCCGCGCTCGGGGCTGGGTGATGCCGGGGGGGGGGGCACCGCTGCCTCGCCTGGCACCAGGAACAGTGGTCTGGGCTGGGCTGGGGGGGGCTGGGGAGGAAGGGGGGGGGGGGCTGGTGCTGAGGGGGGGTTGGAGGGGCGGGAGAGCCCTCCCTGTTCAAACCAGTTGCGGCAGCACCGTAGGGTGGCAATGGGGGAACGGTACCCCCACCACCCTGGGCCAGCGGGAGTTGGGGGTCAGCCTGGGGAGCGGGGGGGGGGGAGTAGAAACCACATCCTGTCCCCATCACAGCGCAAGGGCCGGGACAGGGGTGGGCAGTGGGCAGCCCTCGCCCCCCCCCCAGCCCAGCCACCGCGGGGGCCACGGGCCGGCGGCATGGCGGGAGCGCGCTGGCGCGTGGCCGGGGAGCACATCCCTCCCCGGTCCCCAGGATGAGCTAATGGAGGCCAGCTGGGCCCAGCCCTGCTTCCCCCGGGCTCTGCTCCCAGCCCCGCAGCTGCAGCCTTTCCGCTCCCCGTTAACCCCCTCCCAGCCGGTGCTGCACCCCCCCACCCCTCCACACCCCCCCCCCCGTGTCTGTGTGTGTGTCCCACCCCACGGCTGCCGCGCTCCCCTGCCCGCAGCCCCAGGGACGTCACTCGTGGGAAGCCTCCTGCAAACAATACGGGGTGTGCGGGCACTGCCTGGCTTGGGGGGGGTCCCGGCTGGGGCTGGGGGAGGTCCTGTCCCGGGGCGGGGGGGGCGTCCCATCCCTTTGCTCAGCCCCCCACCCACCCCACAAGATCCTTCAGGGACTCTTAGTCTGCTGAGCCCTGACCCACTGCCCCCCCACTGCGTGGGTCCTGCTCACGCACAGCCCTGCGGGGACGGGGACACCGGGGGTGGGGACATCGGGGATGGGGGCACTGGAGACAGGGGTGCAAGGGATGGGGACACCGGGGACGGGGACACCGGGGACAGGGACACTGGAGATAGGGGTGCAAGGGATGGGGACATCGGGGATGGGGACACCGGGGACGGGGACACTGGAGATAGGGGTGCAAGGGATGGGGACACCGGGGACGGGGACATTGGGGATGGGGGCACTGGAGACAGGGGTGCAAGGGATGGGGACACCGGGAACAGGGACACCAGGGGTGGGGACATCGGGGACAGGGATGCCAGGGATGGAGGTGGCAGGTACCAGGCACCCACAGCTGCTCCTGTGCGCAGGGCTGTGGGGACAGCTGCCCCGGGCTGGTGGCACCAGGCTGGGGGGAAAGGGGGGCTCTGGTAGCTGCTGGGGCTGCCTGAAAGCAGCAGGGTCAAATGGAACCAGTGCGAGAGCCCTGCCCCAGGGGCTGCAGCATCCCGGCAAAGGTGCGTGGTCCCTGCCCGTCCCTCCGGCCTCATCCTGACCCCCACCCCCCCCCCCCCGCCGTGGCCAGGCCCCAACGCTGCTCCCTGCCCCAGCACCGCGCTGCCGGACACGGGCGCTGCACCCTTGGCTTCCCCCCAGCACCCGCGGGAGCAGGGCAGGAGCACCCGCAGACCCGCACCTCCCCGTAGAACCCGCCCTACAAAAGCCGTTATCCCAGCAAAGGCTGCGGCTAACGAGTCCCCAGCACCAGGGGGACAGGGAGCAGGATGAGCCCGGCCGTGTCCCCTCCCCTGGGCATGAGGCACCAACCCTGCCCGGCCCCTCCGCAGCAGCGGGGAATTCAGGCGAGCGGAAAAATAAAACCCACAAGGGGAAAAAGGCAGGGGGGCTGGGGGCAGCGTTTCAGCCAGGGTCCCCCACGCTGCCCTGCCTGGGACCAGCACCCCCGTGCCCTTCCAGCATCCCCTCCTCCATCACCCAGCCCCTCTGCAAGCTTGGGGGACACTGACCGCCTGGGTTTTCCCCCCCCTCCTCCCCACTTTTACAGGCCAGGCACCCCCACAGCTTCTTTCTCTCTTTAGCTGAGCATCTTCTCCGCCAGCACGGGCCTGGGGAAGGGGCTGCCTCAGCCCCCAGCCGCCCCTGGGCAGCTCCAGGAGGGAGAAGAGGGACCCTGGGAGCCCCCTCTCACTGGCAGGCAAGCAACCCCTGCCACACCTCCAAAAAGAAGGGTTTCTTGTCATCATAACTCTTTATTATAAAGATGTATTTACACGGAATAAATCTTTACAGACACAAGAGACACGGTCAACAGGACCCACTGGCGCTCAGAGCAAGGGCCCCCCCTTTGGCATAGGTCAGTGTTTGACACAGAAACCCCACTGTCGTCCCCCCCCCCATTCTCCCGCTGTCCCGTGGCGTGGAGCAGCCAGAGAGGCCCAGAGCCCCACGCCGCATCCTGGGTGGGCACCCCACACCTCGGGGGTCCCCAGGAGCTGGGTCTGCCAGCGGGAAGGGGGCCCCACACTCTCTGGGGAGGGGAGGGCAGCTCACCCAGGGTGTGGGATTAGCACCGTGGGAATAAATAGACATCACCCCCCCCCAGGACAAGCTGTGTGCTCACCCCAGCATGTGGGGGACGGGCAGGAGCCCCGAGGGAGCTCACAGCCCCCTGCTGAGAAGCTCCTCCGCCTGACAAAGTGCTTTGAGCAAAGCCCACGGGTCCCAGCGCGCCGATGCCCGGGGCAGCCCCGCGCCCACCGGCACGAGGCGTCGCGGCAGCACCTGGCCCCACCACGAGCTACGTGGGCGACCGGCTCCCAGCCAGCCCCGGGAGGCGGTGAGGGGTGGCGGGGGGCACCCACGGTGCCGGGACCCCCAGGGACAGCCGCAGGGAGGAGGTGACGCTGGCCGTGGGCTCACGGGTGGGACCCCACGCTCGGGGCCGGGAGGCGAGCGGAGCAGGCTCGGACACGGAGCGGGCCACGGGAGCCGCGTCCCTGGGAGGCAACCCTGCAACGAGAGCGGAGCCAGGCACGCGCGAGTTCCCTCCCGGCACCGCCACGCGTGTCCCCGTGTCCCTCCCCACGCCCCGCTTCTCCTCACCTGCCTCAGAAGGGCATCGGGCCCTTGTGGGAGAGCCGGGGCCGGGGCCGTCGGTACCTCCGCCAGCCGCCCGGCCGGTGCCCGGCCCCGCGCCGCGCTCCCCGCGGCCGCACCAGTGTTCGGATGAGGCCATCCTCCCCATCCTCCCCGTCCGGCGCCTGGCCCAGCGGCCCTGGGGACGGCGGGAAGAGCGTTAGCCGGGTCCCCCCACCCTGCACGTGGGACGGGGATGCCGTGGGGCTTGCCTGCACCTCCGGCTGCCTGGCCCCAGCACCACCCGTTTCCTGAATTGGCCCCAACAGGAGCCATTCGCCGGCCGAGTGCTTCCTGCGCCGAGGTGGCCAGGCCACCTGCGCCGAGCATGGCCAGCCGCTGCCACCGGCCTCGACGAGGGGCACGGAGCCCCCCAGCCCTCCCCAAAGCCACCCTCCCGTGTCCCCCTTCCCTGCCAGGGTCCACTGAGACCCTCGCCCCCCCGCTCCGGCCCTGCCTGCACCCTGGGACACCTGGCAGAGATGCTGGGGTGCCGGCACCGCTCCCAGCGCCCCCAGCCCTCCCCAAAGCCACCCTCCCGTGTCCCTTTTCCCTGCCAGGGTGCACCGAGACCCTCAACCCCCCCGCTCCGGCCCTGCCTGCGCCCTGGGGTGCCTGGCAGAGATGCTGGGGTGCCGGCACCGCTCCCAGCACCCCCAGCCCCGCACATGTGTGACAGCGCCCTGCTGAGCCGGGACTGGGGTGATGCCCGGGGAAGGGGGCCGAGACCCTCCGTGGTCAGCGTGACAGGGCCGCGCCCCCCCCCGCCCCGGCAGCATCGCGGCGATGCCCGGGGCTGTCACCCGTGGCACCGGGCGGGCCGTGCACCGGCAGCCGGTGGCACCGGCGGGTCCCCGGCCCGTCGCGCCGCCCGGGTGGACAAGGACGGGGTTTGTTGGCACCGTGAAAAGAGTTTTGTCCTCCCCCCAGCCCGGCGGCTGCCGCCCCCCCGCCCAGCCCCCGCCTGCCCCACGGGCACCGTCCCCTCCATCCTCCCCGCTGCAGCGCGGGCACAGGGCGATGCCGGTCGGGGGGAAGGAGCTGGGGGGGGGGGGGGTCCCCATGAGCGGCCCCCAGCCGCTGCCACCCCCCCGCCCGGGGGTCCCGGCACTCACCCGCGGCGGCCAGGACGAGGCAGAGGAGCAGCAGCGCCAGGAGCCAGCGCGGCGCGGCCATGCCGGGGGGGCTGGGGGGCGGCGGCGGCCCCGCTGCGGGGGAGCCGCATTTGTAGGCGGTGAGAGCCCGGCCCGGCCCCGCCGCCCGCCCGGTCATGTGGCTGCCGGGCCCCCGGGGGGGGGGACAGAGGGGGGGGCGGTCTGTGTCCGCCCCCCGCCCCGCCCCAGCGCCCGCACCCCTCCCGGGACACCCCCTCTATCCCCCATCGGCACCCCCTCTTGGGGACCCCCCCACCGGGACACCCCCTCTATCCCCCATCGGCACCCCCTCTTGGGGACCCCCCCACCGGGACACCCCCTCTATCCCCCATCGGCACCCCCTCTTGGGGACCCCCCCACCGGGACACCCCCTCTATCCCCCATCGGCAGCCCCTCTTGGGGACCCCCCCCCCCGGGACACCCCCTCTATCCCCCATCGGCACCCCCTCTTGGGGATCCCCCCCCCGGGACACCCCCTCTATCCCCCATCGGCACCCCCTCTTGGGGATCCCCCCCCCGGGACACCCCCTCTATCCCCCATCGGCACCCCCTCTTGGGGATCCCCCCCCCGGGACACCCCCTCTATCCCCCATCGGCACCCCCTCTTGGGGACCCCCCCACCGGGACACCCCCTCTATCCCCCATCGGCACCCCCTCTTGGGGATCCCCCCCCCGGGACACCCCCTCTATCCCCCATCGGCAGCCCCTCTTGGGGACCCCCCCACCGGGACACCCCCTCTATCCCACATCAGCACCCCTTCCTGGGGATCCCCCACCCCTCGGCCCCCCCCAGCCCAGCCCCAGCCCCCTGGGGCTCTTGGACCACCCCCCCCTCCCAGCTTGGTCCTGGGATCCTGTGGGATCCCCACACCTGGCCTGGCCCCCAGATCCCCCTCCCAGTCTGGCTGTGGGACCCCCCCTCCCATCAGGATCTGACACCCCCCTCCCAGCCTAACCCTGGGACCCCCCACCCTGCCTGGCTCAGGTCCCCCTTCCAGCCTCCCCCCCCCTTTCCCTGGCACCCAAGGGGGCAGGAGGCTGTCCTGGCACCCCCCCATGCCCACTGCCCTGCCCCTCTGCCCCCCCCCCCCAAGCAGTGCCCGCAGAGGGGTCCACCTGCAGCCCCACCACCCTGCTGCCCCCCAGGTCATCCAGCCACTGTTCGGGATGGGAAACGGGGGGGGGGACACGACACAAACCCCTCTCCGCATCACCCAGGGGAAGGGGGAGACCCCACCCTCTTTGTAACACTCCCCAGCATCCCGGGGGGGGGGGGGGGGGGAAGAGCTGCTAGGACCCCCCCCATGCCACCCCTCGGGGATTTGGGGCTGGGGGATGGCAGCTGGGGGGGGGGGGGGGGGGGGCAAAGGGCAGTTGGGGCACACCACAAAACCACGCGCACCAAGGCCGGCCGCAGTGAGAGCCGCAGCGCACCGAGGGCACGGGTGGGGTCTGCAAGCTGACAGTCGGAACGCAACCCCCCCAGGTCCGGGGGTCCCCTGAGCCGGTGGCTGAGGGAGGGGTGGAGGTACAGGCACGTGTCGGGGTGCGTGGCCAGGCTTTGGTAATGGGGGGGGGGGGGGGGAATTCCCCTGCACCCGTGTGGATCCACAGTGGAGCAGAGCCCACCTGCAGCTCATGGGGGTTAATTAACGGTGGAGCAGAGCCCACCTGCAGCTCATGGGGGTTAATTAACGGTGGAGCAGAGTCCTTCCGCAGCTCGTGGAGGACCCCACGCCAGGGCAGGTGGGTGCCCGAAGGAGGCTGTGACCCCGGGGGAAGCCCACGCTGGAGCAGAGGAGGAGTGTGAGGAGGAAGGAGCAGCAGAGACAGTGGGTGATGAACTGACTGCAGCCCCCATCCCCTGCCCCCCTGTGTCACCGAGGGAGAGAAATTGGGGGTGAAGCTGAGCCCAGGGAGAAGGGAGGGGTGGGGGGAAGGTGTTTTTAAGATGTGGCTGTATTTCTCACTGTCCTACTCTGATTTGATTGGTGATAAATTAATTTTCCCCAGGTCAAATCTGTTTTGCGTGGGACAGTAATTGCAGAGGGATCTCCCTGCCCGTGAGCTTTGGGTTACGTTTCCTCTCCCCTGCCCAGCTGAGGAGGGGTGTGATAGGCTGGGGGGGGGACAGACACACCCCGCATCCAGCCGGGGTTAACCCCCCCCCCCCCCCCCAAGGTACAAGATCTCACCGCTGCAAAAGGTGGGTGACAGGGACAGCCCCTCCCAGTGGGGTGAGGGGGGGTGGCCCTGCCCTGCCTTGGCAGGGGGCGGTGGCAGGACCCCCCCCCCCGGTGCCACCGCCGCTCGCTTCCGCATTCCTGAGGCCCCACATGCCCCCCCCCGGCCCGCGTCCTGTTTGCTGGGCGCGTCACCCCGGCCTGAGTCACCCCCGCGGCCCCCGCAGGTGACGGAAGGCCAACAATAGCCCACAAAGGGAGGATGTCGTCCCCCCCCCCCCCAAAGCCTTCCTCCCGCCCGTCTTCGAGGAAACCTCCTCGCGGGAGGGAAGGGCCCCACCGGACACGCCGATGAGCCTCGTCCTGTTGACGCTGGCTCGCTCGGAGCGGCACGCGGCCCCGGGGGTCCCCAGGGGCGGCCGGTGCCACCCCCCCAACATGCTGCTGGGCGAGGAAGAGGAGGCGCAGGGCTGAGGCTGTACGTGCCAGCCTCAGCCCCCCCATCCCTAGGAGGGGGGGGGGGGGGGGCATCACAGAGCCAAACTCAGAGGTTGGGAATCAAGGGACCCCCCTTGTCAGTGTGGGGACCCCAAGGGGCTGGGTGTGCATCGGGGGGGCGGGGGGGGCTGAGCACCCCTGTGGGCGCAGCCCCGGCCCTGGCACTGGGCAGGGCGGAGGAAAGCATCATTAGCACAGTTCGCTAATTAGCAGGATGGCAGCAAAACGCTGCCTGACTGTCACCACGGCAACCGCGTCACACATCCTCGAGAAACTTTTGTTGCTATAACAATGACAGTGTCACCCTGTGTGTGTGTGTGTGTGTGTGTGTGTCCCCATCCCTGTCCTGCCCATGCTGGGGCAGGGGATCCCCCCCCGGGCTCCTCTGAGCGGGGGGGGGGACTGGAGGAGGGGATGCCAGGCGCAGGCAGCCTGAGAGCATTGGTGACACGAGTGTGCCAGGCCTCGGCTTGCCCGCGGGCAGCGGGAGCACCGTGCGCCGGGCGGGCAGGAGACAGGACAGAAGGACAGGGGACAGGACAAGGGGACGGGGGTCCATGTGGCTTCACAGCGCAGTCCTGGTGCCACCTCGTGGTGAGCGGGGTCGCGGTGACACAGCCGGACGGTCACCGCAGGGAGCAGACAGCCCCCGCAGTGGCACAGCCAGACAATCCCTGTCTCCTGGAGAACCTCTTATATTTTCAAGGAGGCATTTGGGGTTGTTTTGTTGGGTTTGGTTTTGTTTTTTTTTTTTTTGGTAAAACTTCTGTTTGTTCATTCACCGTAGGCCCCGCCAGATCTCCTGCACCTCGCACCCTGCAAGCCACCAAGCGCCAGGTCCTGCCGCCACGGCAGCGGGGTCCTTCCACCCTCCTCCCAGGGTTTGTGGTGCTCCCGTCCCTGCCCCACACCTCGCCCGGCCCCCGCCGCAGATGTGTTTGTGCAGCGCCCATCCGGCTGCACCCGCAGGGGCCGGCCGGCGGGCGCCCGGCTGCGACGGTGACGCTGTGCCCACCCGTGGTGCAGCAGGTCCACGGGACATCCCAGCCGGTGGAAAGGAGCTTCGTGCTCTGGGATGAGCAGCTCCCCCGGGGACTCCTCCAGGCGCCCCTGTCCCGCGTGGGGGCGTGCGGCTCTCCTGGGTGGGGACGTGCATTTTTCCCGCGTGGGGACGTGCGTTTGTCCTGGGTGGGGACGTGCATCCTCCCCGGAAGGGACGGTGCCAGTGCCAGCGCAGACCTGTCCCCCAGCCAGCCTCTCTCTTCCATCAGGAGTCATTAAAGCAGTTAGAGGCAATACGTGCGCACCAAAAGCGACAGGCCAAGGCTCGTTATGACGAACATAATGAGTTTTTTAGCGGGATGGCGGCGGGATGGGGGGCACGTCCCTGCGGCACAGCCCTCGGAGGTGGCTGCTGCTCCCCGAGCCCCGGGGGCTGGCTCCCCCCCCCCCCCAGCCCGCCCCGTTCACCCCCACCACACTCCCTCCCGCTGCTGCCAACCGTGTCCCTGATCGCACGGTGAGAAAATCTTGCTGGCGCTTCCTCCCCAGCCCTCCCATGCACCCCCCATTCACTGCTGACGTTACCCCGTTAGCAGGACCCACACGCTGGTGTCACCCAGTGCTCAAGCCGCGCCCCCCCCCCCCCCCCCCCCCCCATTCCTGCTCCCCCAGAAGCCCGTACCCTCACGCTAGAGGTGGGGTCAGACATTCAGCTCCCTCGCCCCAAACCCGTTCCCTTTCCCGTATAATCGCCACCCCCCCACCCCATGCAGCCCAAAACCTCTGCAGCCCTGTGCCCACCTGGCCCTGCGTTGCTGTGGCACCCCCGGGGGGGCTCAGAGCTCAGCACCGGCGCTGCTGTGGCGCTGGGTGCCAACCAGCCCTTCCCTGGGGCTTGCCGGTGAGCCATCCCCCCCGGGGAGGGAGGGTGGGCACTTTTTTGCCTCCCCGTGACAGCTGTAATGTTTAGCAATGGCTACGGGGTGCGCCCCCCCCCCCCAGTCTCAGCCAGCCCCCAGCCTCAGGGGTGCCACTGGGCGCTGGGGTGGGGACGGCCACGGCCCGGCCCAGGAGGATGCTCTGCACCGCTCCGTGTCCCGGTGCAGGGTGAGGGCTGGGCCTGGCAGCATGGTCACACACACCCACCCTCACCCCGGGGACCCCCATGTCTGTCCCCCAGGGCTCCAGGGGATCGAGGTTTCCCTGGGGACACGGAGGAGCAGAGCACCCCGCAGCCCCGGGCAGGCGGGACGTGCCAGGCTGCGCTGGCACAGCCCCACCTCCGCCCCGGGAGGATCTTTGGACTTTGCGCTGATTTTGCTGTTTGATTTAGCGGCAGGATTCGCTTCCGACGCACAGGACAACAGCCGCCCCCGCCTGTATCTGCTCCGGGCCTTGGCGCTCCCATCCTGCACCCCCCCCCTCCCCGCTCCCGGGGCAAAGGCGCAGGAGGAGGGAGTTGTCACCCAAGGCACCGGGGAAAGGTCCCCTCCACTCCCCATCCCGCTGGGCACCCCCGGGGCAGCCATGTACCCCCCGCCGTGGACCGCAGCCTGGCTGCTCCTGCTCCACGGTAGGTCTGGGCTGGGAGCTGGGGGGTGGGCTCGCTGGGGGCCCCCCGGGAACCAGGCTGGTCCCGGTGTGGAGGACGTAGTGGTGTCTTGCAGCAGTCCGAACCACAACCGCGGGTGAAGCCGGGGTGGGTTTGCCTGTGGGGAGCCCCAGTGCTCTAGGGCGGGGGAGCCAGGCTGCGCAGAGGGGCTAATCCTGCCCGCCCAACCCCAGGGATGAGCTCTGGGGGGTGACGGGTAAGGAGCAGCCCCCTGGGCCGTGAAAGCCGGGCGCCCACACCACGCTAAGGGTGACCCATCGCCCCGGTGCCCCACGGACCCCAGCCCAGTGCCCTTGGCCCGAGATGAAGACCCCGGTCCCTGCTCGCGGGCTGGGGCGGTGCCGGTGCCGGTGCTGGCGGGCTCGGGGAAAGGCGGTGCCGGTGGTGGCACCCAGTGCAGAGCAGCACTGGGGGGAGCCCAGCGCCGGCCGGGGGTGCATCCCGGCTGCCCACCAGGTCCTCCAGCAGCCCCAGCACCAGGGGTGCTCTGGTCGCTGCTAACCCCCCCCCAGCCCAGCTCCCGGGCACGGTGGGCACTGGCTGCGCCTTGTGACGATCCCACCGCACCCCTGGGGACCATCCCCAAGCGTGCCATGGGCGCTGGCCGTGCCTGGGTTGCAAAAAAAATCCCAAATTTGGGCCGGCTTGATGTTGGGGATGGAGGACGAGGGTCACAGCTGCTCCAGTGCTGGCTCTGGGCTGGAGCAAAGGGCCAGCGGGACCCCCGGCTGCAGCCCGAGGCTCCGGGTTGCCCCCGTGTCCCCAGGCTGTGCCGCGGGCCGGCCACCGCGGGCCACCTCCGCCAAGACCGACATCCGAGACTGCTCCGTGGACCCACCGGTGAGCCCTCCCTGTTCCCGGGACACCCCGCGTGGGGTCACCGCACCCCACACCCTCCACCCCAGCCCCACAGCTGCAGCTGGTGTGCGTCGCACACCCCCCACACCCCCCATTGTGCCACCAGTACCTGCCCCCCACGGCCACCAACACAACGGCGCGGCTCTCTGCTCTGCGGGGTGTCATGCGAGCCCTCCGTGTCCATGCCTACATCGTGCCCTCCACGGATGCTCACATGGTAAGGCAGCAGCCTGCCTGTCCCCTCGGACCCCCCCGGACCCCCCCAGGGACCGCGGCCACCTCTCACGGCTCCATCCCCGGCTCCAGAGCGAGTACATCGCCGAGCGGGATTCCCGGCTGGGCTGGCTCACCGGCTTCACCGGCTCCGCGGGTGAGAGCATCCTCAGCACCCCGGGGGCCCTGCCTGGGGTGGGAGTCCTCATCCTTGGGGACCCCCGGGGCAGGGCATGGTCCTGCTCCGGCTGGGGATCCCTGGGGGTCCCCGTAGGCTGCCTGGAGAGGGGATGCCTGAGCCCCCCCCCACCCCTGTGCCAGGCACCGGCGTGGTGACATGGGACAAGGCTGCCCTGTGGACCGACAGCCGCTACTGGACCCAGGCAGAGCGGCAGCTGGACTGCAACTGGGAGCTGCAGAGGACAAGTCAGTGGGGGGGGGGGTCTGGGTGTCCCAGCCCCAGCACTGGTCTCATCTGGGCTCGGCGTGGGCCGGGGTGCGGTTGGTCCCCGCGGTGCCACCCAGCTCTCTCCCGCAGCCTGGATCGAATCCATCGGGACGTGGATCCTGGAGGCGGTTCCTGCGGGAGGGAACATCAGCTTGGACCCCTTCCTCTTCTCCATCGGTCGGGTGGGCATCACACGGCGGGGGGGGGGGGGGGGGGGGGCGGGACACGACCCTGTCTGACAGCTCCCGGGGGGTGGATTTACCGGGTGCCCCCCAACCGTGGGCCTCCCCCCTCGCCCCCCCCCAGACACCTGGAACAGCTACAGCCAGGCCCTGCAGGGCTCTGGCCGGACCCTGCTCCCCATCGAGGACAACCTCGTGGATCAAGTGTGGGGTGACCAGAGACCCCCCCCAGCCTCCGGCGAGATCTACACCCTCCCGGAGGCTTTCACGGGTACGGCCGCCGTCCCCCCCCCGGGGCTGCTGGGCGGATGCTCGCCCGCAGCGGCCCCCAGCCCGGGGTTGGGGGGGGCCGTGGTGGTCTCTGTGCTGAGCCGGCCGCCCGCCCCCCTCCCAGGGAGCAGCTGGCAGGAGAAGGTGGCCGGGATCCGGCTGCAGATGGAGCGGCACGTTCGACGCCCCACGGCCGTGCTGCTGTCGGGGCTGGAGGAGACGGCCTGTGAGTAACCGGGGCGGTGGGTGCCGGGGTGGTGGGTGCCGGGGCGGTGGGTGCCGGGGCGGTGGGTGCCGGGGTGGTGGGTGCCGGGGTGGTGGGTGCCGGGGAGGTGGGTGCCGGGGCAGTGGGTGCCGGGGAGGTGGGTGCCGGGGTGGTGGGTGCCGGGGCGGTGGGTGCCAGGGCAGTGGGTGCCGGGGAGGTGGGTGCCGGGGCGGTGGGAGCCGGGGCGGTGGGTGCCGGGGAGGTGGGTGCCGGGGCGGTGGGTGCCGGGGCGGTGGGTGCCGGGGAGGGGGGTGCCGGGGCGGTGGGTGCCGGGGAGGTGGGTGCCGGGGCGGTGGGTGCCGGGGCGGTGGGTGCCGGGGAGGTGGGTGCCGGGGAGGTGGGTGCCGGGGCGGTGGGTGCCGGGGCGGTGGGTGCCGGGGAGGGGGGTGCCGGGGCGGTGGGTGCCGGGGTGGTGGGTGCCGGGGAGGTGGGTGCCGGGGAGGTGGGTGCCGGGGCGGTGGGTGCCGGGGCGGTGGGTGCCGGGGAGGGGGGTGCCGGGGCGGTGGGTGCCGGGGTGGTGGGTGCCGGGGCGGTGGGTGCCGGGGCGGTGGGTGCCGGGGCGGTGGGTGCCGGGGTGGTGGGTGCCGGGGAGGTGGGTGCCGGGGTGGTGGGTGCCGGGGTGGTGGGTGCCGGGGCGGTGGGTGCTGGGGCGGTGGGTGCCGGGGTGGTGGGTGCCAGGGCGGTGGGTGCCGGGGAGGGGGGTGCCGGGGAGGTGGGTGCCGGGGCGGTGGGTGCCGGGGCGGTGGGTGCCGTGGGCTCTGATCCCCGGGGGTGGGGGGCAGCCGGTGGGCGCAGGCTCGGAGCTCTCCTTCCCCGCAGGGCTCTTCAACCTCCGTGGAGACGACATCCCCTACAACCCCGTCTTCTACTCCTACACCCTGCTGACCAACACCAACATAAGGTGGGCAGCACCCCCCCCCTTCCTTTCCAGGGCCCGGGACCCTCCCCTGGCCCAGCTGCCCCAGCACCCACCACATCCCGCAGCGCCCAGCCCCGCTCCGTGCCCCCCTCCAAACCCCGCATCTCCCACCCAGCCCACCCTGGGGTGCAGCACCGACCCCCGCCCCCCCACCTCGCTCCCAGCCCCTCCGAAGTGGAACAACCCCCCCACCCCACACTGGGGGTGTCCCCACGCGCCCCTCCCCTCCCTTCCCGCAGCCTGTTCGTGGACGAGCGGCGGCTGTCGGCGGCGGCGCGGCAGTCGCTGCGGGGGGGCTGCCCGGGACCCCTCTGCGTGGAGCTGCAACCCTACGGGCAGACCCGCGCCCACCTGCGCCGCTACGCCGGGGGCAACGTCACCGTCTGGCTGGGCACCGAGTACACCACCTACGGCCTCTACGGCGTCGTCCCCCCGGTACGGCACCCGTGCTGGTGCCCGCCGCCCACCCGGGTCGTGCCGCCGAGCCGTGGGGGGGGAGGGATGCGTTGGGGGGTGCAAAAAGAGGGGGGGGGGGGGGGGTGTGGAGGTGATGGCGGTGCCACCCCCCAGCCTGCCCTTGCAGGAGAAGCTGCTGGAGGACAGCTACTCCCCCGTCATGCTGGCCAAGGCGGTGAAAAACGCCAAGGAGCAGGAGCTGCTGCGAGCCGCTCACGTAAGGGCTGTCCCCGAGCCCGAGAGCAAGCGGGGGGCAGCCGGGGGGGGGGGGGGGAGCGGGGGTGACGATGCTCCCCCCGTCACTTCCCCTGATGGTGCCACTGGACCACCACCCGCCCCCCCCCCAGGTCCGGGACGCGGTGGCTGTCATCCAGTACCTGCTGTGGCTGGAGAAGATGGTCCCGCAGGGGCGGGTGGACGAGTTCTCGGGGGCGCAGCACATCGACGCACTCCGCCGGTCAGTGCTGCCACCGGGGCCCCCCCCTTCACACATTGCCCCCCACCCCCAACAGTCTAGGGCAACCGGGGACCCCCAGCATCTCCCTCCCTGCTGCCTTCCAGAGCCCAGGAGCACAGCCGCGGGCCCAGCTTCCAGACCATCTCTGCCAGCGGGCTCAACGCGGCACTGGCCCATTACAGGTACGGGCAGGCCGGCGGCGGCGGTGGGGAGGGGGCTGCTGGAGGCTGGGAGCGGGCCCTGACCCCCCCCCCACGTCCCCTCGCAGCCCCTCCAACGGGAGCAGCCGGCAGCTGTCCGTGGATGAGATGTACCTCTCGGACACCGGAGGGCAATATCTGTGCGTAGCCCTGAACGGGGCCACCCCCCGCCTCGCCCTCCATCCCCTCCCCGTGCCCCAAAGCCAGCGCTGGGGCTGCATCACCCCCAGACACCCCCCCCCACTCCCCACCCCCCCAATTTTGCAGGGATGGGACGACAGACATCACGCGGACAGTGCATTGGGGTGTGCCGACCCCTCTCCAGAAGGTACCAGCCCCTCCAGTGCCAACCAGCACCCCCCCGCAGCACTCAGCACCAAGGCCCCAGCCAGGGATGGATGTTCTTGGGGGGGGGGGGGTTGTCGGGGCGTCACCACGCTCAGCCCCCCCCCCCCATGCCCCTCCTAGGAAGCCTACACCCGTGTGCTGATGGGCAACATCGACCTGTCCCGCCTCGTCTTCCCACCCAACACGGCAGGTGGGTGCTGAGCCCCGGGAGGAGGAGGGGGGGGGGGTGCGGGGGGGAGCCCTCATGGGCTCCGTGCCCCCCATCCCACCTCGTTGTTCCCCAGGGAGAACGGTGGAGTCCTTCGCCCGCCGGGCGCTGTGGGACGTGGGACTCAACTACGGCCACGGGACCGGCCACGGCATCGGCAACTTCCTCTCGGTCCACGAGTGTAGGTGCTGCGGCACGGGCGCCGGGGACGTGGGCTGAGCTGTGGGGGGACAGGGACAAGGACAGGGGCTCCTCTGGGGCCAGCGCAGCCTCTGGCTGCGAGCGGGTGGCCCTTACCCGCAGGGTGGCCCGGTGGTCCTTGCCGGGGCGGCCCCACCGTTCTTGCTGTGGCGGCCACATGTGGGTCCTGCCGGTGTGACGCCGTGGTCCTTGCCGGGGCGTCCCCGCAGCCCACGCCGTCCCCAGGAGCTGTCACCCACCCCGTGTCCCCTTGCAGGGCCCGTGGGCTTCCAGTCCAACAACATCCCGCTGACGGCCGGCATGTTCACCTCCATCGGTACGCGCGGCCGGTGCCCCGGGCTCTCGGGGACGGCCCCGGGGTGCAGAGCCCGGACAGGGAAGGAGGTGTCCAGCTCAGCCCCGCTCAGGGGCCAGATCCGGCCCCTCTGGGGTGGGGTGGGGGGTGTCACCGGGGGGTCAGGACTCACCGAGCTCCTTCCCGGCCCCCAGAGCCCGGGTACTACCAGGATGGCGAATTCGGGATCCGCATTGAGGACGTCGCTCTTGTGGTGAAGGCACAGACCAAGGTGGCACAATGGGGCCGGGGGGTGGCACGGGGGTGGGGGGGCACCCCCCCCCCCCCCCCCCAGGAAGGGCTGGGGGCACCCAATGCCACCTCTCTGCGGCAGCACCAGAGCGGGGAGGAACCCTTCCTGACCTTCGAGGTGGTGTCCCTGGTGCCCTACGACCGCAACCTCATAGACCTCAGCCTCCTCTCGCCCGAGCAGGTACGGGGTGCTGGGGGGGGGCAGGGCTGTGGGGTACAGGGGGAGAGAAGAAGGGGGTCGGGGGGGGTGGATGTAGTGGGAAACCAGGATTGTGGTGTGAGGTCGGGGCAGGTAAATGGGGCCGAGGCAGGGATGGGTGGGTGGGTGGGTGGAGAGGGGCAACGGGCTCTGCGGATGGGGCTGGTGGTGGGGGCGTGGGGGAGCTGGGTGGGGAGGGGGGCGGTGACAGTGGGGCACCCCACATCTGCCCGGCTGCAGATCCGCTACCTGAACACCTACTACGAGACCATCCGGGCGCGCGTGGGGCCGGAGCTGCGGCGGCAGCGGCTGGAGGAGGCGTACGGCTGGCTGCAGCGGAACACCGAGCCCTTCCCGCTGCCCAGCTCCGCCGATGCCACCACCACGGCCGGCACGCTGGCCCTCGCCTCCCTGCTCCCCGCGCTGCTCGCCGGCCCCCGGGCCTGACGCTGCGCCGGTCCCCTCCCTGCCGCCGCCGTTTCTTCTCCCCGACGCTCACTTCCCTATTTTTTTTTTTTTCTGTTGTTGTTTTCTTTTGTTTTCTATTTGCTCGTTTGTGATTAAACATCAGCAAGGCCGCCGTGCCCTGCCGCCGCAGCCCGGGGTGCTGCCAGCCTGCCCGCCGCCTCCCCGGCTGCTGGGGGGGGGGGGGGTCCAGCCCCACACAGCCCCCAGCCCCACACGTGTCACCCAGCCCCACACGTGTCACCCAGCCCTTGCTCTCTGCCCTGCTCCGGGGGGGGCCAAGTCAGCGCGGGCGGCAGCAAGGAGGCAGATTAAGGGCAGATTTTATTTCGTGGGAGGAGAGATGGGGAGGATGGGAGCCAGAGGGTGCCCGAGCGGGGCCACCCCCGCTGCTGGGCCCACATCCCACCGTGCCCATCCAGGAGGGTCTGGGAGTGCAGGGGGCACGGGGGGGACATCCCGCACCAAGGGGTTTGGCCATCACGTGCTGGCATGGAGCGGGCACACGGGCAAAGGGGGGGTGGGTTGTGGAGCTCTGTGTTGTGCGTGGCGCGGGGACGCGCGGCACCCAGCAGCGTCGCCAGTGGGGGGTGACGGGGCGCACGCAGCACCCCCCCATCCCCGGGGGCCCCGGGGCAGGGCAGCAGCTTCGTGGAGGGTTTCCTTCCTCCGCGCCGCTGCAAGAACCTCTCATGTGACCGCCGGCTTCCTGTGCGCTCCCCGGCCCCGGTGCCGGTGCTTCGGTACGTGCCGTGCCCTGCCAGGCGCTGCCCGAGCGCTGCGCCCTCGCCGACGGGCCCCGGCACCATGCTGCGCCGCAAGCCCTCCAACGCCGGCGAGAAGGAGCCGGGACACAAGAAGGTGAGACGCCTGTGGGGGTCCCTGCACGCCGAGCCCGGGGGATGCTGAGCGGGAAGCACTGGTGTTGGGGGGCTGGGGCAGAGCACCGGGGGGGGCAGCACCGCCTGCGCTCAGCCCCGGTCACCGTGGCCGCGCCGGCGCGTGGTCCCGGCCTCGTCCCGCGCCCTGCTCCCACCCCGGCGGGGTGGGCGGATGGCATGCACAGACCCCCGGGGGTCAGCCGGTGGGACCCGCGGGGCTCTGCTGGGAGAGCGGGGGGCAGCGGCACACCCCACCCCCATCAGCACCACCCACCCACCGTGGGCTCCCCGCGGCGTGGGCGCCCGCCAGCCCGCCCGCCGCTTCCTGCTGGGGCGAGGGGCCGGCCGGGGCGCTGGGCGCGCAGCTCCCGGCCCTGAGCACCGAGGTGTCTGCGGTCGAGGCGGCGCGAAGCTGCAGCTCCGCCACGTGCGTCGGCCGCTCCCCCGCCCCGGCAGCTCCCCACCGAGCACCGGCCACCGGCACCCGCGGCCTCTCGAGAGCCCCCGGTGCCACGCCGCTACCGCAGGGTCTCGGCTCGGCGCTCGCCGGGCCCCGGCGCGATGGCTCCGGCAACGGCGAGACACCCAGGAGAGCAGGGGGACGGACCCGGGGCCCCGCTGCTGCCCACGGTGGGCTGCCGTCCCGGCAGACCCCCACGCCACGACGGCTCCTCCGTGCTGGGCAGCTCCGGGGGGGGAATCTGTGTGAATCCCCCCGGCTCCCCGTGCCAGGGGTGGCCCAGCGAGCCCGGCAGGCCCCTGCGGGCATCCCCTGCCCTTGCCCAGCTGCTGCTCTCACTTCCCTCTCGCTGCCACGCTCCCCGAGAGGGGGTTCCACAGCCCCCCACAGCTGGGCTTTCCACAGCTGCTCTTGCACCCCCGGCTCCTCCAGCCGCAGGATAACGGCCAAGGCCGCAGCTTTCCCGGCTGCAGGGGAAAGAGGGCACGAAGTTGTTTCATCTGATGAGTGCAGGGGGAAACCAAGGGGGTGGGGGGCTCAATCTGCCCAGAGCTGGTGGGTTCAGGGGTGCTGCGGTGGGAACCGGGCAAAGCACCAGCATCTCCCCTGCACGGCTGCACCAGCCGAGCGGGTCCTGCTAAGCGAAGCCAAAGCGGGGACGGAGCCAGGTCTCCCTCATCCGAGCCAGCCCTCTGTAAGAAAATAGCAAAAAGAAGTAATAAGGGATGCTCAGTCGGGTTGGTAAAAAGGAGAAGGAGGAGGGGAAGGCACGGGGCCGTGCCTGGGAAGGGCCCCGGCTGCCTCCGGTGCAAGCAGGAGCCCGGGGCGGGCAGGGCGACTTGAGAAAGGAAATTGCTGCGTTTGCGGTCGAGGCGAGACGGGGCGGCGGGGTGCGCGCTGGGGGCCGGGAGCCGAGCTCGCCCAGCCCCGCCACGCCAGCCGGGTCCCAGGGCAGCGCTGGTGCCGGGCACCCAGCAGTGGGGGAGACCTGGGGCTCCCGGAGTGGGGAAACCCTTCCCAGGCTCCCGAGGAGATGGAGAGGAGGGAAGGAGAGCCGGGGAAGAGTGGAAGAGGCAGTGGTGCAGGGTTGCACCAGCACTGAGACCCCAAAGTCTCTTCGGTGGCTTCAGCACAAGGATGGGCCGGAGCTTGCTGGCGATGCTGGCAGGGAGGGTGCTCTCCGGGCTGGGGGGGCTGCCCAAGGGGCCCGGCTGCCAACGGAGAGGCGGGGAGCTGGGGCGGGGGGCGCGGGGAGAAGCCCTCACACCTTCCCGTCTCCCCCAGCTCTCCCTCCAGCGCTCCAGCAGCTTCAAGGACTTCGCCAAGTCCAAAGTCAGCTCCCCGGTGCCGAGCGAGAAGGAGTTCAACCTGGAGGAGAACGTGAGCACCCGGCCCCCCCCAGGGACCACCTTCCCACCCGGCACAGCCCTTTGCAGAGCCCCTTGCCCCAAACTCCTGGTCCTTCTGGTGGCCCCAGGGGTTCCAGCACCGGCAGGATTTGGGGTCTCACTCCCCATGGGGGTCTTGCAGCCCCCTGCGATCCAGCTGAGGTTTGGCGGGGGCCGGTGGGGCAGGGTGCTCTGCCTTCACACCCACACCCCCCCCCCGATCCCTCTGCCAGATCCCCGAGGATGAGTCCAGCAGCGCCGGCCCCGACGAGGCCGCGCGGAGCAGTGGGATGAAGCTGAGCAAGAGGTGGAGGGCCGTCATCTCCCGCACCATGAACCGCAAGATGGGCAGGATGGCCGTGAAGGCGCTAGCCGAGGGGAAGGTGAGCTGGGGGGCAGGGGGGGGGGGGAGCCCGGGCAGGCGGGGGGGGGCAGCTCCCCCTCCCTCGTCCTGATCCCGCTCCTCCCGGCAGGGAGACGTGGAGGAGGAGGGGTCCCCGTGCCCCCTGTCCCCAGCCGGCAGCACGGAGGAGCCGAGCCGGGAAAAGGTGCCGCTGTCTTACCTGGAGATGGAGGAAGAGGGGCACCCACCGCTCAGCCGCCAGCCGTCCAGCGGTGAGCCTGGCCGTGGCGGGATGCCGGCCCCTCGCCCCCCCCCCCCGGCCGGGCACATCCTGACCACCCTCCCCACCCCAGGCAGTGAAGTTTCCAGTCCCGGCCTCGGGGGCAGCAACTGGGACAGCGTGCGGCTGGAGGAGAGCGGCCCAGCCTACGCCGGCCCCTTCTGCGGCCGGGCTCGCGTCCACACCGACTTCACCCCCAGCCCTTACGACAAGGACTCGCTGAAGCTGCGGGTGAGCCGCCGGCGCGGGCCCTGGGGAGGAGGGGGCTGGGGGGAACCCCCCCCCCCCCACCTTCCCAGTTCACCCAGCCGCCTCCACCCCCCATCTCCCGTGGCCCAGAAAGGGGACATCATCGGCATCATCGAGCAGCCGCCCATGGGCACCTGGACCGGGCTGCTCAACAACAGGGTGGGCTCCTTCAAGTTCATCTACGTGGACGTCATCCCCGAGGAGACGGCCCCCCCCCGCAAGAGCCGGGGGCCCGGCAAGAGCAAGCGGCTCAAGCCCAAGACCCTCCACGAGCTGCTGGAGCGCATCAACCTGCAGGTGAGGGACTGGAGCTGGGGGGGGGGGGGGGGGACACGGGACACCCAGCACCAGCCCAGGGTGCCAGCAGCAGGACCGCCCTCCCTTTGTTATCCCGGCGGGTGCCCCCCACCTCATTGCTGGGGGGGGGGGGGGGGCACAGAGCGCCGCAGACCTGCACCGGGGTGGTAGCCACGTGGCTAGCACCGAGGGTGAGGTGGGGAGCCCCGGCACGCCCCGCTGACCCCCCCCCCCCCCCCCCCCCCCCCGGCCCCAGGAGCACACCTCCACCCTGCTGCTGAACGGCTACCAGACCCTGGAGGACTTCAAGGAGCTGCGGGAGACCCACCTCAGCGAGCTGAACATCACGGACCCCCAGCACCGCGCCAAGCTGCTGACGGCCGCCGAGCTCCTCCTGGATTACGACAGTAAGAGGGGCGAGGGGGGGGGGGGTGGGGGAGCCCCCCCCTGTGCCACCCCACGGCCCCCCCCCCCCCCCCCCGCGCCGGGGCAGCCCCCGCCAGCCGCCTCGCTGCCCGCTCAAGGTCCCGTCCCGTCTCTCCCAGCAGCGAGCGAGCCGGAGGAAGGCGACAGCGCCGGAGCGCAGCCTTCGCCCTCGGAGCCCAAGGGGGACATTCCCCGGGACTCGGGCTGCTTCGAGGGGTCGGAGGCCCTGGACGGCAGCCGGGACGAGGCCGAGCCGGGGGGTCCCGAGGGGCAGCCGCGGGCTGTCTCGGTGGCAGAGTCCTCCTGAGCTCGCTCTGCCTGCCCCGCCGCGGGCGCGGCCCCGCAGCCGCTTTGCCGCTCCGGCCCGGAGGGGACGTCCCCGTCCCCGTCGTCCCCCCACCGCCACCACCACCCCGGGGGCACCGCGGGCACCGGATCGCCTCTCCTGGGTTTGGCCCACTTTCGCCGACAGCTTTCGGAGCTGCTCCCGGAGCCCTCGCCCCGCCGGGCTCAGCGCCCCGGGAGCCTGCAAGGACAGGGGGGGCCCGCGGCGGGCAGGGACGGAGCAAACCCAGCGCTGAGCACGGAGAGGTGTGTGTGTGTGTGTCCCCCCCCCACGCCCCGAGCCCAGCTCCTCCCCCCGCAGCGAGGACGCCCGCCCGGCCTTCCCCCCCGCATCTTCCTCGCACAGCCTGGGGAAAGGTTTGCTGGCAAGTTTGGGCGCCCAGCAAGGGCACCGCCAGCCCCCCCCCCCCCCCCCTCCCTCGGCCCCCCAGGGCTGCCCGCAGCTTGCCACCGAGCCCGCTCTGGGGTGGGGGGGGCTACGAGAGGGAGACGGAGCAACCACCCCGCAGGCAGACGGGCTCGGCGGGACAGTCCCAGACCACCACATCCCCCCCCCCAAAGCACCGGCCACCCCCCACCCCGGGAAGGGGCAGGGGGGCTGCAGCTCCCATCGGGGAGCAAATAAAAGCGGCTGGTCCCCGGGCGGGGGTGCCCAGCCCGGCCTTCGGGCACCCAGGTTGTTCCTTTGTGCTCCATCCCAATAAAATCCCGCAAGACCCTGTCGCTCCGGCCTGCTTCCTACCTGCCGGGACGGCTCGGGGAGGGAGCTGGGGAAGGGACCCAAAGCGTCCCAGGATGTTCCACAGCTGCACCCACCGGGATCTGTCACTGCTCAGCCCCGGGCTACAGCATCTGTGCACTGAGACCCCCCCCCCCCTTACCTGCCGTGGGGGGACAGCAGGACGCAAAAAAGACAACGGAGCTAAGACACCCTGGAAACGTGAGCTGCAGGGGCTGGGAAGCCACAGGGAAGGGGAACGAGGCAGCTGGCTTAGGGAGGCACAGAGAGAGGCAGAGGCCACAGCTCAGCCATTTTTCAAACCAGTTAAGTTTCCTTCATTGTTTTAAAATTAAAAAAAAAAGAAAAAAAAAAAGAAAAAAAAAAATAAAGAAACCCCAACCCTCGCCCTACCCCCACTTCCTTGACGGAGAACCTGAACAGAGCAGACAGGAACCACAGGTGCAGGCAGCATCCGTGACAGCCCCAGCAGGCAGCACTCGACACACCGCATTAGAAAATAGATCAGTAAAAACAAAAAAAAAAAAACAAAAAAAAAAAAAAAACCCAAAAAAAACAAAAAAAAATACACTTTTTCACAACGAGTTTGAGATTTGGTCAGTAGCGTGTTGGGGTGGGTGGGAGAGGAGGGGCAGCTCCCACCGCCGGTGGGGTGTGTGCGGGGCCAGGAGCCCAGGGCTGCTCCCGGGACCCCCGCCCTGCCCTGGAGGGGAGGGGGGGGCACAGGCCAGGGCTGGCTGCAGGGTGGCAGCGGTGGGGACTGGGCGGCACTGGGACGCCCCGCTGGTGTTTACCAGCGATGGAGCCCGGGGCAAGTGGGAGCCCGCTGCCGGAGCCCCCGGCACCACGGGAGAGGGGGCAGCGCCGCGTTCCTACCGGGGAAGGGGAGCGAGGTGGGAGGCACGCATCGGGCTCCTTGGGGGGGGGGGGGGGGGGACACACAGGGCCCCCCGCTCCCGTGGGAAGCGGGATGGCGAACGCAGCCAGGGAAGGAGGAGCAGCAGCTTCACGCTGGCAGCGGGAGAGGCGAGCGGGACACCCTCGGCCTGCCACCCACTCGCCTGTGGGGCGGCACGGAGGCAGCCGGCGCTCGTGGCAGGGGACGGAGAGCTGCCGGGGCACAAAAGGGCCTTCCACACACCCCCCACACCCCCCGCAGGGACCCCACAGACACGGGGGTGTTCCCAGCCCGGCTGCCAGGCGCAGGGTGGGGAGCTGCCCCGGCGCAGGGGTCTCCCACCGCCCGGCCCTGGGCTCTCCTCCCTCCTCTGCCGCGGAGGCGCCGCCGGCCGACACCGCGCAGCCAGCCCCGGGAAGATTCCAGGCTCTGAAAAGCCAGCGGAGGATGGCTGAGAAACGCGGGGCAAGGCGGTGGCAGGGGACCCACGCACACACTGCACGCACGGACGCATGCACGACACGACACAGACTCGGGGCTGAGGCCCTGCAGAGCGGCGTGCCGGCACCGGGAGGGCACCGCCTGTGCTCGGGAGCAAGCGCAGCCCCGGCGCCAGCTCGGGGGCCAGCGGCACAGGCAGACCCTCCCCTGTGGCTCGATACACCCCTTGCACAACCGCCCCGCGGCTGGCGCGGAGGAGGGGGGACACACACGAGCGGCAGGAAGGTGGGGGCTGTCCCCCTCCTTCCCCCCGCGCCCCGGGGCAGGACGGGGAGGGGGGGCCCCGCCACGGCCGCTCTCGCGCCGGCTAAGTCACACGAAGAGAAGGAGCACGGGAAGGAAGCTACTTTTTAAAAACCGTTGCCAGCAGAACACCTTCCCGGTTGTTTTGGCCCTTTTGGCACCAAAATGTCTCCTGCCAACGCCTGCCACGTTAACCAATAAAACAATGCCACGGATTAGAGGAAGGAGGGAGGAGGGGAGAGAGGACGCTACTGCCATAAATTGCTTTCCCCTTCCCACCAGGATTCCTCGGCGGTAGGGAGCAGGCCGGCCCTAACGCCGCTTCTGAGCTGCTGGACCACGAGTCGTCTGTCCGAGAGCCGGGGCCGGAGGGAGGGCCGGCATCCGGGACAACCTGCAGAGCGAGAGGTCCTGCCTCGGCCCGCAGGCAGACCGGCCGCAGCGGTGGGGGTGCCCCTCGGGGACAAGGCGGGCCGCTCGCGCTCCTTCTCCTCTGGCACCAGGCAAGGCCAGCGCCTGCCCGCACCGCCTGCGCGTCGAGGTGAATAATGACTAAAGCAAAATGGCCATGAGGAATCGTTTGCCTGCCATCCAGCCCATCTCCTCCTCTCCTCTATCACTTCCAGCTTCGATTAGACAAAACAAGAAAGTTCTCCCTTTCAAGCAGATGCTAGTGCTCTGCTTGCCCAGCGTCCAGGGGCGGGACTGGGAGCTCCCCAGACGTCAGCTGCTTCTCCTCTGGCATCTCAGCATCGCTCAGGGATGGCGCAGGGACCTGGAGAGAGAAGACAGCAGTGACTTACACCCCAAAACAGAGCCTCTGCCTGAGCACACGGACGCTTGGCCTCGCTGCCCTGCTCCTGACTCCAGCTGCGCCAGGGAGAGGGCTCAGCTGTGCCTGGGGGAAGGAGAAACCAGGGGCCACCAAACAGGCCAAACAGCAGCCTCGCGAAGATCTGGAACACCGGACCGCTCCAGCAGAAGTGGTCTGGGCTGTTTCCACCAGAGAAACAGCAGCTCATGCCCAAGCAGGAGTAGGGCCGGCCGTTTCCCACCGTGTTCGCAGAATAACTGAAGCGGGAAGGGCACCCTGGAGGTCTCCTGTCCAACCACGTCCTTAAGAAGCGGGGCAAATTTCAAAGACAGAGCAGGCTGCTCGCTGGGGCAACGGCTTTCTCCAAGGATGGAGATCCCACCACCTGCAAGGGCCCTTCTGGGACGACCCCTCAGCTTGTGCCAAAACACGCCGCCTGCCATCTCCCACGCCTCCTCAACCCCTCCTAGCCCCCCCCCGGGTGCCCTCACGGCAGAACTGACACCTCCAAAATCGCAGCCAGCTGTGATTTCCTTTGAGGTTGACCTAGGAGCCAGAGGAGCCCAGCGCCCTCCCAGCCAGCTCCAGAGAGACGCTGGTTCCCGGGGCCTGAGCCCAACAGGCTTTTCCTCGGCAGCCTCTCAGCCAGGCCCCGCGTGTGGCTTTGCTCCCGCTAAGTCACACTATCTGCTCTTCTCTCTGCTGGCCCAAAGCACCAAGAGCTCTGGGCAGGCGCAGCCCGCTCACCCCCCGCGCAGAGGGAAGCACTCACGGCACTCAGGTGAGGAGTGCTGCCGTCCTCCTGCTGCGCGCCGCTCTCCTCTGCCTGCCCGCCGGGGCCCTGAGCAGCGGGGGGGTCCTGAGCGCTGGGCCCCCGGGGGCACGACTCCTCCTGAGCTGTGCTCTCCTCTTGCTGCAAGATGCCCCGTCTGTCCAAGACGCTGCGAGAACAGAATCACACCGTCAGAGACGCGCGCCTCCCCCGAAGCCGGCTTCTTTTCCTGGCAGGAAAAGCGCTGGTGGAAGACAAACGTCAGGGGAAAGGGGTTCCTCTCCAAAACGGGCTGCGCACAGCCCACACTTAAGTTTCCAGCGCCTCTGTTCCTCCTGTGAAAACCAAGAGCGGCCCAGTTCAGAGGGTGGGGGGCCCACCGAAAGGAGCAACCCTGGGAAGAGCGCCCTCCGCTCCATCCGCCGCCCCGGGGACGGGGAGCCGCTCCTCCACCCCTGCGGCGGCACACGCCTGCGCTGCGGGAGGCAGGCACGGAAGGCAACACAAGACCTTCCTCCCCAGGGCACCCAGCCGCGTCCCAGGTGTGACCTCCAGAAGCCCTCGGCACACGCAGCGCCGGCAGAAGAGCAGCAGCAGGGAGAGCTCCTCCGCGTCCCGCGCCGGGCTCCGGGGGCACGGACGGCGAGGGCTGCCCCTCGAGAGCTTACCTGGGGGGCAGAGGCCCGCAGAGCACCTCACAGCAGTTCTTCACTATGTTGCCGTGGCTGTAGGGATTCTGCACGCGGTTCTTCCCAGTCCAGGACCCCTTAATCTGCAAGAGCCAAGGGCAGAAGCTCAGGTCTGCTCCGCCGACAGCCGCCCCCGGCCCACGGAGCCCTGCCTCAGCCGCAGGGCGTGCCGGCGAGGTGGACGCGGCCCAGGCACACAGGAGGAGGAGAGGAGAAACGGCGGGGGCCCAGAGGAACAGAAAGGCTTTACTTACGTCTTCGTTGGTTGTCTGATTCAGTGCCACCAGGAAGGTGTGGAACCCGGTTAACCCCACCACCGACCACAGGGTGAAGAAACAGATGAGCACCTCCAGTACAGTGAGGACAGTTAAGGACCGGGAACAGCCTGGGAACAGTCCCAGCCCGGCTGTGCCACTACCCCAGGCACACTGCTCTAACTTCTCTCCTTCTCCTAGACACAATTTTCTGTTTTACCCTCTTCTCAGAAGCCACAAAATTGCTCCTCGCCTTGTAATCACGGGGGAAAACGCCCCGAAAGACTCCTTAGGGAAGCCTGAGCATCAAGCCTCCAGTCCCTCCATACTGCAGCTCACACTAACCCCCAGCTTTGGAGAAGCCAAACCCTCTGCACTGTGGAAGGATATGTCCCTGGGGTTTCCTTCAACGTGTTCAGAAATCCAATCTTCAGAGATTCTGGCAATGCAAAAAGAGGATATTTTTTTTTTTTTTTTTTTTTTTCCCCTCTGGAACATCACACTGAGTCCAGTTCCCTTTCCCACGCCATCACTTCTGGGTTCACACCACCCCCCGTATCCCCCACCTCCCTCAGCCAGCCCAGCCACCCACCTCTCCGCAGCCAGACTCACTCAATGCTACGTAGACTATGTTGAAGGTGAAGATGTAGATGGTGAGGAGTGAGAGCGAGAGGATGAAGAGGTAGAAATAGCGGTAGTTCCTCTTCCCCACGCAGTTGCCCACCCAGGGGCAGTGATGGTCGAAGCGCTCTGTGAAAGCGAAGACGGAGATCAGCGCTGCTCTGCCTGCTCCCAGACACTCCTGCGCCCCGA